ACAGAAAAGCACATTGCATTTCTCTGAAAATGACCAGTGATTAAACATAAAAGAAGAACATCAACTAACTTCTATATTACACAATTCAAAAAATCAAACACTAAAACTCTAAGCCATTTTCCAAACTCAATAATAAGTCATCCATTTCTAGTATACTACTGTCCGGGTAACATCTAGGAAATATACTTAATCATAGCAATATGGCTTCCAGCTTGCCTACTAGTTAAGTACAAACAATAAGAAAATATCACCAAAGAGAATGAAGATTCATTACCCATGACTCACAAAAGAACTGCCAACCCAGGTAAAGGTTTCTTCCTATCAGATTGAAAAGAAGACAGAAGAAAGCAGAAGGTGTTAGACTAAATGCTTAGATTTAGATTTAGAGTTGATTGTCAAAGCAGAGTTCCCATTTGATCAGAGCAACTCTCACAGAATTCTAGTAATTCCTACTTAAACAACAGCTGCAAATTTCTCAAGCCTAGGACTACTAGGCAATCACTCTCCCCTCTTTCACTGTGAGTTCACGGTGAGTTAACAGATGGGGAGGCAAGAATCTGCAGTCTCTGGCTAAGGGACTTTAGGCACAATTAGGCAGGGCGGGGGGGAGGAAGGGGGGAACACTGATGTCTTTTCTGCAGTGTATTCGCTGCATGGACTTCATCTGGTCACTGACATCTTCCATTTTCCATAAAGCATTATTTTCTTACGTGATCCATTCCAACCTGTGCACCTCATTATTGCTTTGCAGTGTTGAGGTTGTCACCTAAAGGCTGCACACAGGAAGTAACCTTCAAATGTGCTGCCATCCGCCTGGCAGCAAACACGCCGCCATCCTACTCATTCTGAATCATCTCCTCTTCTCTTCCCTTCCAACAACTTGCAGAACATACTTTAAGAGCTGTTAACTTAAAACGTCTCAAAAAATATTTTGAAATGCTAAGCTAATTTATGGAGAGGCACCAAATTCAATCTTTTAAGTCTGTACTCTTATAGCTGTAAAAGTGAGACACCAGGCAAAATCATTAGGACAACTTTGGATGTTATCAATGGTTAGCACTATGCCAGGACTACACACATACAGAGAACTATATGCCAAAGAAGTGTGCCTCTTCAGGCCAGGTCCACAAGAACCAAGCAAAATGAAGGATCCTGCCACTCACTTTAGCCACTCACCTGAACCACAGGTAGACAGTACACAATGACTGTACACAAATGGCCATGAATATGAGCACAAGCTAACTTCCAGTTGATAATTCAGTTTTGGAAAAACAGCCATCATTTCCTGGACAATAGGGCCTCCAAGACAGTAATTATTTCTTTTTTCTATAAAATTTCTGATTGGACTTTGGGGATCTTAGTCCTTGGGCTCTGGGACTCAGAGGGGAACCTCTTCTTGTCACCATGCTGTCTTCTGAAGCAAAGGCAAGATACACTTGTGTTTCTGCATCCTACAGAGATGGCCCTCTACAAATATTGAAGTATCTTTTAAATGCCTGGCTGAAAAAAAAAAAAAGACTAAGCAAATTGAACAAAGAGCATTTGTTCCTTTGCTATTAAAGATGACTGGTCTATCAAGATCAGTAGATGAGGCCATGCAGTAAATTAATGGGACCCAAGACAAAAATGGAAAATCTGGAGGCCAATGAGAGCGCAGACATGCAGTTCTGCAGGCGCGGCTCTGAGGCCCGGCCGTTGAAGGAAAACTCCATAGTTGGGAGTCATGGAGGGGCCTGGGCCGGCTGCAGCCACAAAAAGCTCCAGGCGCCTCTGTACAGTATCTTTACAATAAAATACAATTAGAAAAAAAAAAAGCTCCAGGAGTACCTACCAGCCAAGGGAAAACTGAAGAACCTAAATACCAAGTCTTACTGAGTGTATGGCTTACGTGGTAGAGCCCTTGCCTGGCAAATTAGATCCTGTGTTCAAAATCCTAGGACATAAGCCCTCAGAGGGCCTTATCTAAAAGTCAAGAACAATGCCTTGATCCTACCACCTTCTAAATCCACTATAAAACTCCAAAAGGATATTACCAGCTATGCTGTTCTGCCCATCAAATCTACAAGGACTATCCACATTAAACTCCAGTTTGGACCAATTGATATAGTGTCTCAGAAGCCAAAGTTGGAGCCACTGCTGAGCAAAATGCTGACTTCAAGATATGCTTCTTCTACCCCAAATTGTAAACCATACAACAAGAGTCAGCAGCAGCATTAAGCTGGGTCATCCACTGCAGAACTGCCAACAAAACCTAGGAAGTCCTCTACTAGAAGGGAACTGAAAACTACAAAGCAGCATGGAGCCAGTCAGGGACACGCTAAATGGATGAACTCCATGGTGAAAACGAATCTTTGGGTGGCTTTCTAAAAGAGATGAACAAAGAGAACTTCATCAGAACCAAAGCAAAAGCCAGATCCTGAACTATATACTATAAGTTAAGCCAAAGACTGACACTTACAAGCAAACCAAGTGCAGTTTGGCTCCTAAACAAGTATTGGGCAAAAGTTCAGTTAATAGTGCTGTTCTGAAAGACAGAGTTAATTAAAAAAATAATTGTTGGAGAAACACAAATACGGACTCTACCAGTAAAATCACAGCAACTCTCTAGAATTGCAGATCTTACAAAACCAAGAGAAAATCCCTCAAGACAGTTCTCTCTCATTTTATTCACACTCCTAGTAGGTCTCAAGAATCAAAGAAACCAGTGGTTAAGGGCCAATAGGATATAAAGGCCAATGGGAGTAAATATGGAAGACCAAATGAAACTAAATTACAGTCACTCCATACTACTGAACAGAAACTAAAACCCATGAGACTTACAACATATCCCAACTTGTTTGAGGGAGCACCAACCAACCAACATGCAAACATCAAGCAAGACCAGAAGACCAGGCAACATTCTCTAAGACCTCAGACATCAGTCATTCCAAGCACTCCTAGCATAAAAGCAAACAGAATCAATGACAACAGATTTAACAATATCTTTCAACCAAAAGCACAGACTTTGAACTCCGAGTTGAAAATGCTCTTCCCTCAAAGAATTTTCTGAACAAGACAGCTCCCAAAACTCAAGCAGGAATCACAACCATAAATGGGAGAGGAGTCTCAGATGATATTGAACCAATCCAAATATTAAAAAGAAGGCAGCAACAAAGGACTGAAAGAAACAACTGGAAGAATGGCAGAAATTCTAGGGGAAAATCTATAAATGCCCTCCTATGGAACTTAAAACAAAAAGAAAAATAATAGAAGAAATGAATATTTTATTCTAGAAGAGCATTGAAAAAGAAGAGGAAGAAAAGAAAGCACAATGGGAACTGTTCAAGAAAATTAACAATACTCTGAAAGAATGTCTGCAGCACATTGAAGATGGTGTGCCTTTTCAGACATATTTACAGTATTGCCCAGCAATCCTAAGGCTGAGAAACTTGCTAAATTCTGAATCTGCAAAGCAAAGTTGCTGGCAAGTAAAGGCATCTTTGATGTTTCTGGGCACTATTAACTGAACTTTTGTCCAAGACTTGTTTAGGAGCCAAACTACACTTGGTTTGCTTGTAAGTGTTCGTCTTTGCCTTAACATTAACTTTCTAACATTAAAAGTGGGCAGCACCAATACAAGAGTTACAGGAAGTTGTTCTTAATATTTTACAAGACCCAAACAGAACCACAGATGGGAGTTACTTTGAACTCTGGTTGCTGGAATCATAGCAACAGAAGGGGAATCTGGGCAGACTTGTCTTCCTCCAAGAGAAGCAACTGGTTATGGCAACACCCCACGTAACCAAGACAGAACAGGAGAATCTTCCTGGTATCAAATTACAGATTGCCTCAATCCCTAGAATCAATGGGATGCCAGAAGTGCAAGACGTGAAGCCCGTCGCTCCTGCAAGGCACTCTGCAAGGATAGAGCGAGAGGTATCCCGCTACCCAGAAATGCTGCAGGAACATGATCTGGTTGTGGCTTCTCTTGATGAACTTCTAGAGGTGGAAGACACAGAGTGCTTTACATTCTGTAAGAATGAGGCTTTGCCCGTGACATTAGGGTCTGAGATCCTTGAATTGTAATTTTTATGTGTGTGTGTATGATTCAGAACCTTCAAGATAATCTGTCCAGATAATCTGAAGAAAATATCTAATATTGAGACATCACAGATACAGAGAACTCTTGAGACTGAGGGAGTATGTCACCAGATTTACCCTCAAGTTTATATACACACAGAAAGTGTTCAGTTTATGTGCTTAAGACTGTAATTTGCCAGTTTTATAACGTAAGTTTCAAAGCACTGAATATTAATCTATTTCACAAGTTTGGAAAAAATTTGCACTTACTATTCTACTTTAATCCCATTGCCACAGTCTTTTCAACCCTAAGATTATTGTGCAGCATGGTGAGACTTCCTTTCACATCCTCCTTAGCAGAGTGGGTAGTAAGTTCTTCCGGTTGAAGAGCTGAGCTTGAAGCCAGCTTGCCAGGCTGCATGAGCACCCCTCCCCTATGTTATAGATGAGCTGTAGGGTAGCTCTGCCTTCTCTTGGGGATCACAGATGAGATTTGCAGTGATCTGGACTTCCCTCCCAGTGACCCCGCAGAGAAGGGGTCTTGCTCTTCAGTCCCAGTAAAACACAATCCTGCAGTAGGTGATCATTTAACTTTTCATATCCAAACCTCGTTTTGCATTTGTTATTCAGCAATGCTTCAAGTAAAAATAAAAGGCCAGGGAAATGGTGTAGGGGAGAGGACAGTTTCTGCTTCACTTCAGTTCTTCTCTCTGCCCAAGGACAGCTCACCTAAAAAGGACAAGTGAGCCTCACAGGCAGGTTGCTCTTTCTCTATTCTGGGCAACCACTTGTAGTAGGAAGAATCAGAATTGTTTTAGATATATAATGTATAGAAAAGCCTAGTCAACACAGGCACTACTCATTTTCTTTGTATTTAAGTATGATCTATAATAAAAAAATATGAAATTGTTGAAAAAAATGGAAAATTTGTAGTACCAAAAAAGGTTGGTGTTACTTGCTTAGGGAAGAAACACTAACTAGGATTAAAGGAAGCTGGAAGGAGAGATTTGTTTTATCTTCAGAACTTTTTGTCCCACACAGAATCTTTAAAATAGACAATTATACAAAACTTATCTATTGTTCTCATGACATTTAAATAAATTAACACAAAGTGGAAAATATGGCCTTAACCTTCTTCTTCCTCATCCTCTTTGATTACTGGAGTACCTACAATGCAAGGAAAAGTGATTTCTGGTCATTCTCGACAGATGGTTAAAATTGTTTTTGTTTTGCTGTTGCTACTCCTTCCTTTCCTTCCTTCCTTTCTCTCTCTCTCCCTCCCTTCCTTCCCCTCTCTCTCTTTTCCTTCCCTCTTTCTCCTTTCTTTCATTCCTTCCTTTCTTTCCTTTCCCTCCTTCCCTCCCTCCCTCCCATCCTTTCTTCCTTTTCCTCTTTCTTTCTTCCTTTTCCTCTTTCTTTCCTTCCTTCTTTCTTTCTTTCTTCCCCCTCTCTCTTTCCTTTCTCCACAAGGTCTCACTACCAGAAAACTGGAAGTGGTGCTGTGACTCAAAGTGGTAGAGTTCTAGTCTTGAGCAAAAAGAGTTCAGGGACAGTACCCAGGCCCTGAGTTCAAGCCCTACAACAACAAAAATAAGGGGGGGGTCACAAAAGTAATAGGTATATACTCATTACATAGTTTAGGAAATAGGACATTACTAGCATTGTAGAAATCTGTTTGCCCTCTTCCTGATTATTCTTGTACCTCCCCACAGGAAGGAACTTGTCTACTGTGTCATTTTATTCCTACGTATATGTCTAGAGGGGAAACAAAAGAACATTCTGCATAGTTCCATTTGTGGGAAAAAAGAACACAAGAAGATACAAACTGATTGAAAGGGACAGAAAGAAGCTCAGTGGCCACCTTGAGAGGAGTGGTGGCAGGAGTGGTAGCGAGGGAGGGAGTATGAAGAAACCTTTGTGGGCCATGCTGACGTGTGTGATCTTCACCTTGAAGACGCCTTTGGAGCGTATGTACATATCAACACGTACCTAATTGTGCATGTTATTTATTTGGTGTTGCTGGGTTTGAGCTCATGGCACTTTTACCCCCTGAGACATATTTCCAACCCTGTTTTTGCTTTTTTTTTTTTCCTGTGCCAGTTCTGGTGCTTGACTTCAGAGCTTTCCATTCTTGCTTAGCTTTTTTGCTTAAGACTGCATGTTACCACTTGAGCCACAACTCCATTTGTGGCCTTTTGCTAGTTAACTGGAGGTAAGAATCTGTTGGATTTATCTGCTGGTTGGCTTCAAACTGCAGATCTCAGCCCGCTGAGCAGTGAGGATTTTGAGCATGAGTCACCAGCACTTTGGCCTTACTGGTTATTTTTGAAATAGAGTCTTACAGACTTTTCTGACCAAGCTGTATTCAAACTATGATCTCTCAGCCTTCTTTTGAGTAGCTAAGATTACAGGTAAGAGCCACTATGCTCACTGACAGACTCAATCTCTTTAATAGCTGAATTGGGATGGTGGTGTTCAAAGTCAACATATATTAACATATATTGGTTTTTTGTTTTTTTTTTTGTCGGCGTGGGGCTTGAACTCTGGGCCTGGGCACTGCCCCTCAGCTCTTCAGCTCAAGGCGAGCGCTGTACCACTTGAGCTACAGAGCCACTTCCGGTTTTTTTTCTTTTTGCTTATGTGGTGCTGAGGAATCAAACCCAGGGCCTCAGGCATGCAAGGCAAGCGCTCTACCACTGAGCCAACTTCCCAGCCCCAAAAAACACAATTTTTATACCTAGGAAACATTCCCACACTAGCCCAGGGTTACTCACCATCCAGCTTTTTGAGTTTGGAAACCCTCTTGGTTGCTTCTTCAATCCAGTTGCCCTCAGCAGAATGCTTCTCTTCCAACGGATTGCCTACAAACACCAGGTCCTCCAGACATGGCAGATCAGCCAGCTTCATAAATTCAGCTATAAGTATAAAGAATACTTGCTACATGAAAATGGTGACATATACTGTTACACTTTTTGGAAACTAAATTAATAACCCTAAATTTGTCAGTATTCAAAACATTGATTTAGACTTTGAAGAAGGCTAGAAAAATAGTGCCTTCTGAAGACATTTTCTGAAGACATTATGGGATGGAAGGAAAAATGAATACCTTAATTCTAAGAAACTCTAATTCCTTCTACCTTAATTATTTTTGTTTGTTTTATGCCAGTAGTATGGCTTGAACTCAGGGACCAAGCTTTCCCTTAGCATTTTTACTCAAGGTTGATCTCCTACCACTTCAAACACACATTCACTCCTGGCTTTTTGCTAGTCTCATGGATTTTCTTGCCCAAGCTGGCATCAGAAGGCAATCCTCAGATTTCAGCCAACTGAATAGGTAGGATTCCAGGCATGAGCCACCAATACCTGCTAGCCCAAGGATGGGATGAAAAGAGATGGTGGTTCAGATTTGAAAAAAAAACCAGAGCAGTCTTTAGTGGCAGGTCTTCTCTATGCTGTGCCACTTTCTCTCATGCAGTTCCCTCATCTTTGAATTCATAAGGTGATTCACCCCCCGCTCCTGCCGCCATCACTTTCCTGGGGTTTCAATTCTGGGCCTTGTGCTTGCTGGAGAGGAACTCTACCTTGAACTTCTTTGAAGGCAAAGGTAGTGTCCTGTTCAACTATCTATATCAAAATCCTGACATAGGTCATGGTTTATAACAAGGCTTGATGACATGTTGAATAAATAATGTGCAATAAAGGGCAAAGTAGTATAGATATCAAATGTCTGCTGCCCCCAAATTCTAAATTTAAACAGATTTCTTTAGACTTTGGCCAATTCTTTTCATAATTAATAGGACCAGGACCTGCCCCAATTATTAAAATTTAGGAATTCCTATAGCTAATTCTATAGGAAATACAGAAATTCTTACAGAAAGTCTCTGTGCTTAGAGATAAAAATTACAATTTTTGTATCTTTTTATTCTTATTGGGTTCTCTCTCTCTCTCTCTCTCTCTCTTTGCCAATCCTGGGTACTAAGGCCCTGGGAATTGTTCCCCACCTTTTTTTTGCTCAAGGCTAGCATTCTACCACTTGAGCCACAGCACCACTTTTGGCTTTTTCTGCTGATGTGGTACTGAGGAATTAAACCCAAGACTTCATGTATGCTAGACAAGCACTCTACCACTAAGCCACATTCCCAGCCCCGTATTTTCTCTTCATTTTAGTTTGAGACATAACCTTGCTATGTAACCCAGACTGGCATCAAAGAAGAACCTCTGCTTCAACCTCTTTAGTGCTGGGATACAGGTGTGTAATAACACACTGGGTTCCTACTGGGCATTTTCTTCTCCTTCTTTCGTGCTAAGCCTGGAAGTCCCTTAGCTTTTTTGCTCAGGTCTAGTGCTCTATCATTTGAGTCACAGTTGCACTTCCAGCTTTTTGGTGGTTAATCAGAAATCAGAGTCTCGGAGATTAATCTGTTCTAGTTTCAACCATGATCTCAGATCTCAGCCTCCTGATTATCTAGGTTAGAGGCATTAGCCAGCGCCATTTCTTAGCTTACCCCAGTCTTTCACCAAGTTATTAGACATGTAGAGAATCTTCAATTTCTTCATTACATGGATACCTTTCAACTTTTCAATAAAATTGTAAGAGATCCACAGTTCTTCTAATGTGTCCCCTACTGCTTCCTGAAAAAGAAAGAAATCTGATTTATGTTTTTAAGGGTTTTTTAAATTTTATTTATTTTTTGTTGGTGGTGGGGCTTGAACTCTGAGCCTGGGCACTGTCCCTCAGCTCTTCAGCTCAAGGCAAGCACTTTACCACTTGAGCCACAGTGCCCCATTTCCGGTTTTCAGAGTGGTTTATTGGAGATAAGAGTCTCTCACGGACTTTGGTGCCCAGGCTGGCTTTAAACCGCAATCCTCAGATTTCAACCTCCTGAGTAGCTAGGATTACAGATGTGAGCCACCAGCCACTGGCTATTTTATGTTATTTTGTTTTTTGGTGACAGTCCTGGGCCTTGAACTCAGGGCTTCAGCACTGTCCCTTAGGAATTTTTTTGTTTTTGTTGCTATTGTTGTTGTTTTACTCAAGGCTAGAGTGCTACTATATGAGCCACAGCTCTACTTTTGGCTTTTTTGATAATTAATTGGTGATAAGAGTCTCACAGAGGAGTGGCAACGTGGCTCAAGCGATAGAGTACTTGCCTTGAGCTGAGGAGTTGAGGGACAGCACCTAGGCCCAGAGTTCAAGCCCCACAACTAGGAAAAAAAAAAAAAGAGTCTCACAGACTTCTCAGCTCAGGCTAGCTTCAAACCATGATCCTTATATCTCAGCCTCCTTAGGTAGTATTATAGGCCTGAGCCACTGGCACTTGGCTTTGTATGTGCCCCCCACCCTTTCTCTCTTTCCTTTTCCCTTCCTTACAAATCTATAGACAATCAATGGCTTTGTAAGATGTTTGGGGGCGGGGGAGAATACAGGTTCTAAGGCCCTCGGTGGCCTGGCTCCTGGCTCTCTTTCCACCATCACTGAAGACCTTTCCTAATTAGCAATTCTTGCTCTTACTCAAGCACTTCAAACAGATCAGATATAGTACATTTGCACTTGCTGCTCCTTTAGCTTAGTATAGTTACTTTCTCTTTGTCAGCTCTGTAGCTCTATAACCTATATACATAACTTTCACAGAGAGAACTGTCCATTATTCTTTTATTCTGACTCACTTTATGTCCTTGAATTCATTACCACCTGCTAAACTGTGCAATTATCTTGGCTGTGTCTTTGTGTCAGTGCTGGGGCTTGACCTCAGGGTCTTTGCTCTCACATGGCTTTTTGCTTATGGTTGGCATTCTACCACTTGAACCATACCACCAGTTACAGCTTTTTGCTGATTTGTCTGCCCAGGCTGGTTTTGAACCATGATCCTCAACCTCCTAATAGCTAGGGTTACTTGTGTGAGACATCAGAGCCTGGCAGGCACAATTATCTTTAAATATATCTCCTATGACTATAAGCTAAGTTCTATGAGAGCATGTGCTGCTTATTTTTAAAATTTTTATTATTATAAAGGTGATGTACAAACAGGTCACAGTTACATAAGTCAGGACATCACCCCTTCCCCTACAGTCTTAAATTATTTCCCTCCCTGTTTTATATTCTTTTTTTTTTGGGGTCCGGTCGTGGAGCCTGAACTCTGGGCCTGGGCGCTGTCCCTCAGCTCTCAGCTCAAGGCTAGTGCTCTACCATTGGAGCCACAGCACCACTTCCGGCTTTTTTCTTATGTGGTGCTGAGGAATCGAACCCAGGGTCTTAGGCATGCAAGGCAAGCGCTCTACCACTGAGCCACCTTCCCAGCCCCCCGTTTTATATTCTGTTGTGTCTTTAATACCTAGACTAATACTTGGCTTAAAGTAGGTATTCAGGAAGTAAGTTGAATGAATGACACAGAAAACTGTTTTTGTACATGAAGGGAAGAAAAAGGTGCAAACAATATGTAGTTGATTTCAGTGTCTATATATCCATTGAAGAACTGAAAAAATAATATAAATCAATCAAAATGCTAGCTGTGTTTAAATATCAGTGGCTTATACTTTGCTTTCCTCCTTTGTAAAGTTTCTATAATGGACAAACATTATAATAAAAAAGTATGTGCTGTTTTAAGAGTAATAAATAACAACTTACCAGTCCATTCAAATTCTTTATGTTGTTTCTTCCTAAAGACAATATTCTCAAGTTTTCTATAGTGGAAAGAATTTTATGAGAATCATATCATACAACTGTTATAAATAATAAGACTTTGGCAATTTTATGTAATAATTATCCCTTACGCAAGAATAAAAAAGCTGTACTACTAAAAATAGGTAATCCTGGAGGAAATAGCACAGATCACTGACACTAAGCACTGAAACAATAACTTCAAATCATGCCAATATTAAATTTATAACTACTTAGTTATTCAAGTTGAATGGTCTCAAAATGCTGACTAGTAAAACATACTAGAGGAAAAGGTTTTAATTTTAATGTTTTGGAGCACATGTATTTCAAATATGTATGAAAATATAGTAAGGACTTGCACAGGAAAATAGAAACACATAGTTATGACTAGCTCACCTTCCTCCAGGAAGGATTAGAAGAGAAATGAAATAAACTAGTATTAAAAGCATTTTTCAATCTTTCAAGTGATAAGATTGTGATTTGGTAAAACATATATATAAATATATAAAATATATTTTATTGTAAAGATACTGTACAGAGGGTTACAGTTACATGCCTGTAGTTTTTTAAAGGATGTTTCTATGTGTATATCTTAGGTTATTTCTGGAGGAAGATTAGACAGCAGTGGCCTTTAGGGAGAAACTGAGAGTCTATGGCCAAAAGATTTTCATTGTAATTTCTTTTAGACCATTTGAAGAAAACCATGTATATTATTTTTCCAAATTAAACAAAAGAAACAAAACAGGAATCCTCATTTCTGTTACAAGAAACTACTGTTATTAATTTTGTGTAAGAATACAATTAGCTTTTACAACATAAACTTCTGTAACTACTTGTCTCATCAATTTGTCATTAGCCACATATGGATATTTACTCTAAATGCATTTAAGTTAAATTTTCGTTAAATTAAAAATTCGTTTTCAGTCACATCAGCCACAGTTTAAGGGCTTAGTAGCTATATTTGGCTAGTTGCAACCATACTGGGACACTGCACATAGTGCTGGAAACCATCAATTTCTCTGAATCTGCTTTTGGGTTTTTTTTTTACTAGTAGTAGGACTTGAACTCAGGCCCTTAGCTTTTCTTCTCAAGGGCAGTGCTATACTACTTGAGCCATATTTGCTTTTTACTGGTTAAGTGGAGATAAGAGTCTCACAGACTTTCCTGTCCAGGCTGGTCTCAAACATCAGTTCTCAGATCTCAGCTTCCTGAGTAGCTAGGATTAGAGATGTAAGCCACCAGCACCTGTTTTCTGCACCTGGCTTGCACAAACTTTTTTTTTTTTTATTGCTCTGTTGGACAATGTGGTTCAGAAACCTTTGGAACTGGTTTGTAGGATGAAATCAGAAAAACTTGGAAAAGCTGGGCAGATAAAGTAAGTAGGGCAATTCTGGTGTGAGCTCAGAAGACCAGAATGCTGATAGGAATGTGGACAGAGCCCGTCCCGTGCTCATTAGGTTTCAATGAAATGAGAATTCTATTGGGAATTGGCCTGGAGGTCATTCCTGTGACACTGTGGAAAAAACAAAAACGTCTATATTTGTCTGTGAGCTGGGACAATGTGGAGACTGAGTTTAAAGGTGATGAATTAATTAATTTGGCAGAGAAAATGTCAAGCTAGCCCAACATTCAGGCTGACTGCTTTTAGACAGAGTTACAGTGAGAATCAGGGACAAAAGTCAAAATGGAAAGATTTGAAAAACTTGAAGTTTGGTCAGAAAAGCCCTAGGTAAAGTTGGGGCTAAAGAAGGTATGGTTTCTGAAGAGAAACTAAGTCACCATTTAAAAAAAGCCAAGGGCTTTGCACTAGCACAACAGAAAAATGTGCCTTGACACTCTGTCAGGAATCACTGAGACTCTACTCCAGACTCAGCTGACCAGGTAGCAGAGGCTGCTGCAGTCATGGTACACGGAGGTCTGGCTACTGCTTGAGTTAGTGGCAGACCCTGACATCATCCACATGAGGGGAGCCTGGAGAATGCAAGAAGTTGTAGGGTCGTGGAGGCCTCCTTCCAGATTTCAAAAGAAAGTTTAGGAGTCCAGGCCTTGTATAACAGAGTCAGGATCTCTGTGAATAGTCCTGGAGGTCTCATGCTGTCTCGAATTTTCTTTGGAGAACCAAACTTTTTTTTATTTGCCAGTCCTGGGGCCTGGGCACTGTCCCTGAGCTTCTTTCGCTCAAGTCTAGCACTCTACCACTTGAGGCACAGCATCACTTCTGGCTTTTTCTGTTTATGAGGTACTGAGGTACCCAGGGCTTCATACATGCTAGGCGAGCATTCTACCACTAAGTCACATTCCTACCCCCTGGATCACCAAACCTAAGTCATGTGTTTTATATATGTTCTTTGTCAATTGACAATTGCTGTGGTTAAAACAGGTGTCAGTTGCTAGAACTACCCAGTGTTTCTGGAGTATTCATTCCAATAACTAAACAGATCTGAGAAACATCTGCTACTGTAGATCACTTACTTAAGCCATTCAGGTTGGCAATTTTTTCAATGCAGTTTGTAGACAGTGAAAGCTTCCTTTAAAAGAAAAAAAACATAAATGGTACATTGGAAATTATCCTTCAATGGTAACTCTTATAGAAGCTAATATTTAAATCATGTTTCTTTTTTATTTCTTCATTTTGAAATTTTTTTCCCCTTTGATTATAAAAGTTAATACACATTCACCATAGAAATTCAAAAAACTATTTTGACAGTTTGGTGTTGTCTATTAAATTTTTTAAGGAATGTATTCTTGGATCCAATATTTCACAATCTTCTGGGGTGAGTATTATTATATACATTTATACATGAAATGGAGGCACACAAATGTTAAACAATTTCCCCATTATTATAATAGCTATGAAGTGACAGAGCCAAAATTAAAACCCAGGTAAGTTTGACTCTAGAGTATGTATCTTACCCTTATGATTTGACTTGAAGAGGAATTATTCATTTTTTATCTGCTTGAAAAAGCAAAAGCAATTACTATATAGTGTTAATAACTGGTCAAGTTTGCATGTTTTCTAATCATCCCCCACTCTTGAGAACTAACAGTAGAGAACATGGTGCCTTTAAATCTAGGGATATTGTTAGAAAATATTTGTCTTATTTAGGCAGCCTGCCCAAAGAGATGATCAGAGAAAATATGAACAAGTTGACTCTCTCTACGTGGTTTCCAAGCTGCTTTGGTATGGAGTACAATATTTTCTCAAATTTGAGACAGTTTTATGAAATGATGCTTGAAATCATGCTTGAAGAAAAAAGAAAAAACCCAAACCAGCCAAATGCCCAAAGATAATCTTTAAGTGGTACAGTATGCTTTCATAGCAAAGACCAAGTTACATACAGCACCTAAATCTGTTTGATATCCCCTTTAATCTTCTAAATAACTACCAATCTAATGAACAGGTGGCCGAAAACCACCACTCAAACATGGGTTCCTACATTTTACTAGAGGTGAGGGCTTATCTCCTGCAGAAAATGCAAGTGGTGCAGGGCTCACAAAAAAAACAAACAAACAGCAACAACAACAAAAAACACAGGGTAAAGAAGTCAGGCAGAACCTCTGTAATTCTGTGTTTTCTACAGCCCTGACAACAGAGTCAAAAAGTACAATTATGAGGCACTGTGGTATAATAACCTCAAATTAGCCACAGGTTCCCAATTTAAAAAAAAAACCTGTGGGTTATTTAGATAATAAAAGGAATTAATATAGATCTGATATTTAAAGTCATGGGAAATACAATTACAAAATGAGTATAATTCAATCCCAATTAGAACTTTTAAAAAAAAGTCAGAAAGCTACATCAGTAGAGCTGGTTCCAATACATACTACTAATTTTCTTTATGGTTCTTAAAAACATCTTCTTGATGGTTTGCAATGTATTTTTAGTTTAGTATTTCTTTAAGAGGAATCTCTTATTAGGCATCTAGGAACTAAGTGTGGTCTGACTTTGGTAAGTGATTTTTCAAAAGAAAGTGGATGACTTTGTGTGTAGGGATGTGGGGTACTGGGAATTGAACCCAGAGCATTGCACAAGCTAGCCAAGGCTTCAGTCACTAAGTTAAACTCCTGTCCTTTAAAAAAATGTTTGTGGATGGAGTCTCACTACATTGCCCGGGCTGGCTGGAACTCACAATCCTCCTGTCTTGCCCTCCCAAGTAGACTGGATGAAAGATGTGCACACCACGAACAGCCTACACAGAGTAATAATAATAGCAATTGTGTTATTTAGTCTCTGTCAACAGACTGTGTATTCTCTATTTCCAAACACATTAAAACAACTAAAAAGAATATTGAAGAAAATATACTGTGTAGTATTACTGTCAAAAGTCCAATAAACCAGCTGGGCACTGGTAGCTCACACCTATAATTCTAGCTACTCAGGAAGCTGAGATCTGAGGATGGTGGTTTGGAGCCAGCCCGGGCAGAAAAGTCCATGAGACTCTTATGTCCAATAAACTACTCAGAAAAAGCTGGAAGTGGTGCTGTGGTTCAAGTGGTAGAGCGCTAGCCTTGAGCACAAAGAGGCTCAGGGACAGGGCCAAGGCCCTGAGTTCAAGCCCCAGGACCAGCAGAAAAATATATAAATAAATAAAATAATAGTAGAAAAAACTTAAATCCAATAAACCAATAATCTTTCATATTTGATGTTTCCAAGAAGAGAATTGTAATAAAAAATGATTGCAGGCAACAACGGTTTTTCTAGTTTGTGCAGGAAAAGGAAGAAAAATATAATAGCAATACTAGGAAAATGAAAAAAGAGAACTTACTCGCAGTTACCAAGCATAGACAAGGATGCGTCCATCTTCTCTATTGGGGGAATCTGGGCATAAAGCTTTATCTCTTTAGCTTCAGCTGGCCTCTGCCCAGTTTTCTCTTCCTATGAGATAAATAACAAATTTGGAACAAAATGATCCCTGGTTGTAATGTGAAACAGAGACTAGAGTTTTCTAAGGCCTTTCTATGTTTATTTCAAAACAATGATTAAAATCTAATAAGTGTTGGATAATTATTCATCATTCACTTATTTGATATATTTACTTGCTGACTCTACCAGCCTGGTTTCTACCTGGCTATTTCAAATAATCATTAAGTCCCTAACAAGTGGAAATCAGAGGAAAAGAAATATTTACTTTTTATGGTATTTTAAATCCTTTAAGATTCCATGTTTTTTGTTATTGTTGTTGTTGTTGTTGGTTGTGGGGCCTGAACTCTGGGCCTAGGCGTTGTCCCTCAGCTCTTCAGCTTAAGGCTAGCACTCTACCACTTGAGCCACAGCGCTACTTCCAGCTTTCTCTGCTTATGTGGTGCTGAGGAATCGAACCCAGGGCCTCATGCATGCAAGGCAAGCACTCTACCACTGAGCCACCTTCCCAGCTCCATGAGTCCATACACTAATAAAATCATAGCACAACAAAAATATTATTCTGGCCAGTCGCTGGTGGCTCACACCTGTAATCCTAGCTACTCAGGAGGCTGAGATCTGAGGATCGAGGTTCAAAGCCAGCCCAGGCAGGAAAGTCTGTGAGACTCATATCTCCAATATACCACTAGAAAACTGGCAGTGGCGCTGTGGTAGAGAGCTTGCCTTGAGTTAAAGAGCTGAAGGACAGTGCCCAGGCCCAGGCCCAGAGTTCAAGCCCCACGAACGACAAAAAAAAAAAAATTATTCTGAAAAGAATTCCTTGCCCCTAAACAACTATTTCTTAAATATCACCTCTAGATGCGTAAGACAGATTTTTTCTCTCATTATCTTTTCTTTTTGTACCACAGTTCAGCTTAGGTGAGAGCCCCAAATACTAAAAGCGTCAATTTACAACATAGCCAAAGTCAAAGTTATCCATACTACTCTGATTCACTACTAAATCTTTTTTTGTTTGTTTGTTTGTTTGGGTCCGGTCATGGGGCCTGAACTCTGGGCCTGGGCGCTGTCCCTCAGCTCTTCAGCTCAAGGCTAGTGCTCTACCACTTGAGCCACAATGCCACTTCCGGTTTTTTTCTTTTTGCTTATGTGGTGCTGAGGAATCAAACCCAGGGCCTCTGGCATGCAAGGCAAGCGCTCTACCACTGAGCCACCTTCCCAGCCCCTCACTACTAAATCTTATCTTAAAGTTTAATTTCATTATTGAGCCCACAATTCAAAATTTAATTATCAGTATCTGCTGCCTATTAATATTTTCAGGGACCATTTGAAGTTCAGGGACTATTTCCTCTGCCTTCCTATGTTTTCTATGACCTGGTACAGTTTAAGACACAAAGAAGGTTCGTTTGAAAAATTAAATCACACACCAACAATAGAAAATATTCTATCTATTGAAAGAAAGTGCCTGAATACACATCTATTCATACTTCTTTTTGTGCCATACATTTGTAGCTTATGGGAAAGAAAACTGATATCTAGTAAAGTCCTCCAATAGATCTCCAATAAATGCTGAGTTTGTTGTGGCAATGTGAATGAGCTTGGAGAACTCATTTATTTTGAATGAAACGTGCCATGCACATAAAGACAAATACTGCATGTTTTCATTCATGGAAGTTCAAACAGTTGCTCTTACAGCAATTAAGAGAATACTGGTTAGGAGCAGGTAGGAGAGAAGGTTAGGGAGAAGGTGGTTAACAAGTACAGAATTATAGTTAGATAAAAAAAAGTAAGTTCCAGAGTTCACACACAGTAAAATGACTATAGTTAACAATAATTAGTTGTGTATTTCCAAATAGCTATGAGAAGATTTGTAATGTTCTCACCACAAAGAACATTTTTAATTTGGGAGTGATGGATAAAATAATTACCTTGATTTGATATTTACAGGTTTGATTATGTATTTATCAAAATGTCACATTGCACTCCATAAATATGTACAATTGTTTGACATGTATTAAATGTTTTAAAAAATAAATGAAAGAGTGATCTTGATGTCTTCAAATAATCTTGAAGCTAAAGACTGATAGCAATAATATAATATAAATAGAATCTACAAACCAAAACAAACTAAAAATGCACTAAAAATAAGTTAAAGTCCTAACATCTAACTTAAAGAAATCAAATCAAATCTGAGTCTATATAATACTCACATATTTATCAAATATTTAACCTGATAAATGAATTTTCAAAATGCAATTATTTAGAGAAAATAATCTGTAAGCACCAGAACACAAATTTAAATTATTATTCTATCCACTTTTGTCCCTTTTCCCCACAATACAACTCCTAAGAGACTTTTTATTCAAAGTGACAAAAGCAAAAGGTTCACAATTATGTAACAAAATATACTTCCAAACAAAGAAAACTCTGTACTCTATGGAATTTCAATCTATAATGCTGAATTACAGCTGTTCAAGCTATTCAATGTTACAATATTCAAAACACTTAGGGTTCATAGTTATTACCTATTTTGAAATGCGGTTTTCTCTAACGCATTCAGTATTTTAACTCTGTGTTTTTTGTCTATGTGTGATTTTCATTTGTCTGCATGGGCTGTCTCTGTTCTAACCTCAGGAGACTAAGATAATGTACCCAATATACACTCTATTACTTGAAATGAAGTAGAGTCTAATGATGACAAAGTTTAAAGTGTAGCATGAAGATTTCAGTCATTTTTATAGCAACAGATGAATCAGCCATACTTAAATATTATAGTGGTCAGAATTTTCTGGCTGAAAATTTTATTAACTTATTTTATTAACATAATGAAAGATCCACCTGCAAGTTGTAAAAAACAAACTACTACAGAGAACTTGGATTTCATCTCAAGCAGTGAAGACAAAAACAAAGCAGAGATTATATGTTCAGTTTCTCCAGTTTCTTTCAGTGGGAATATTCTGTAAAACTAGAGTATATCTAGAGTATTGCTGTTGATCTAACTTTATCAGTCTTGTTCAGGTTTCCTCAGATTTCAGGTCTGTATACATATTTGTAAGTATATATTAAGTCATATACAATTTTATCACCTGTGCAGGCTCATGTATCTACAACCACAGACCAGACAGCTGGACAGCTGCAAGGGCACTTGGTGCTCAACTCTTGTGTTGAATGGTCAGATTTCAATAACTACCCAAATATTTTTTATATAGTTTCTAAAAGAAGTAAAATTCATATACTCACCCAGCGGGCTAAGGCTTCTTTGATGGTTGTTGCTTTAGCCTTATAAAGGAAAGAGGAGAAAAAGGAAGAAGAAACAAGATTGTTTTTATTGGTGTGGTTAGACGGTTCAATTTCATTAACTTTGTTTTCTACCATTACACTTATTCATTTTTTTCCTTTGAGACTTTAAGATAAGAAGTTGTTTTAAACTTGTAAAATGAGAAGGATTTCTTTTAATCTCGGAAAACAAAGAAATTATTATGCAATGGTCATATATTTCACTTGCATTAAGTTTACAAAAATTTGTAGCTTTCAACATTTGATAGTAAAGTAAATCTTCATTGATTCTGTGCAGTATTTGCCAGTTCTTTGCTAGGCAAGAATGCTGCCACTTGAGCCATGATTCTAGAATATTTTAGTTCAGGTTATTTTTCAGCTAGAGTCTCATATTTTTGCCCATGTTGGCCTTGACCTTCATCCTCCTACTTATCCTTCCCAGGTATCAAGGATTAAAGCTATTCACCACCATGCTCAGCAAGAAAAGTTTTTAAAGTCATCATTATATCTAAAAGGTAGACATATATATATATACATATGTTATATATTAACAAACCTTACATCAAAAAAAATTATAAATTAAATTTAAGAATAAGAGACATGCTGGGCACTAATCCTAGCTACTCAGGAGGCTGTGATCTGAGGATCACGGATCAAAGCCAGCCCAGGCAGGAAAGTCCGTGAGACTTTTATCTCCAATAAACCACTAGAAAACCTAGAAGTGGCACTGTGGCTCAATTGGAAAGCACCTGCCTTGAGCTAAAGAGCTGAGAGACAGTGCCCAGGCCCAGAGGTCAAGCCCCATGACCTGCGCCCTCCCCCCATCCCCCACACAAAGACAGGTCAGATGCTGGTGGCTCATGCCTGTAATCCTAGCTACTCAAGAGACTGAGACTTGAGGATTGTGTTTCAAAGCCAGACCAGGCAGGAAAGTCTGTGAGACTCTTATCTCCAATTAACCACCCAAAATGCCAAAGTGCAGCTGTGGCTCAAGTGGTAGCATGTTAGCCTTGGGCAAAAAATAATAAAAGAACATTCACAGACAGCATCCAGGCTTTGAGTTCAAGCCTCAGGACTGGCACTGACACACACACACACACACACACACACACACACACACAAAGTTACATCACTGAAAATTCAAAGAAAGTAAGAGGAATATGCAATGAAATCAAACAGAATGGGAGAAAATTATTAACAAAACTGAAAAGGTTTTGGTTTTTGTTTTTGTTTTTTTGTTTTTTGTTTTGCCAGTTCCAGGGCTTGAACTCAGTGCCTGGGCACTGTCCCTGAGCTTCTTTTGCTCAAGGCTAGTGCTCTACCACTTGGCCACAGCTCCACTTCCCACTTTTTCTGTTTAAGTGGACTCGAACCCAGGGCTTCATGCATGCTAGGCAAATGGTCTACCACTAAGCCACATTCCCAGCTCTAAAATGTGGTTAAGTTTCTTTCAAGCCTGATTAGGCAAAAATGAGAAATATACAAACTAAAAATAAAGAGGGGAAATAATTGGATACCACAGAGATTCCAAATACAAAATAGTATAAGCAAAATATGGTGATATTTTTAAAAAGTCAACAAGTTTTTTCTATAAAAAAACTTTCACAAGCCAGGTTCAGTGTCTCACAACTGTAATCAGGAGGCTGAGATACGAGGATCAAGGTTTGAAGCCATCCTGGGCAGACAAATCTTGGAGACTCATGTCTCCAATTAACCACTAAAAGAGGAGCTGTGGCTTAAGTGTTAGAACTTCAGGCTTGCATGTAAAAGCTCAAGGACAGCAACTCTGACAAAAATCAACAGGAAAATTGGGAGAAGACATTTTCTCATATGAAGCCAACAAAAGTCTATTACAACACATAGTGCATACAAGGAACTCGTAAAATTCATAAGCAGAAAGGGAATTGGAAAAAATATGAATGGACACAGGTAACTAATGAGAATTAGCAGGAGTTATTGAACTCATTGAAAAATCAGAAAAGTTCAAGGAAGAGCAACAGGATATTAGAAAAACAAAACATTTTCAGACTGGCAAAAGTTAGAAAGTTAGTGAGATGTAGAGAAACAGAAACTCTTCTGCATTGCTGGAGGAAATTAAAACTCTGGTAGCCTTTCAGAAAAGTAGTCAGTGAGCTAAGGAAATCAAGTACACCCAGACCCTCTGTGAGAACAATCCAATCCTGGTTATGTGTCCCAGAGAAATTTTGTATGGGTCTATAAAAAATACAACATGGTTTGTGATACAATGTTAGACGCAATGTAGTTACAGATTGGGGCAATATAAACTGATAGAGGCCACGGATTTCCCCATGGTAGAAGCCCAAACCTCAAATGCCCAATGGATCAAGTGGACCTTCTTAATGGGTCAAGTTGTCCTGACAAGGCCAGAACCAATGTAGAGAGAGTAACTTCTACTGAGCTCCAAATAATTGCTAGCAGGCAGAACTTGGGAAAGAGAGTTATCCTAGCAACATACTTTTAAATGTAAGCAGAACCTTTATCTTATGTACCATTAAGAAAGAAAAAGCTGGCCACATCATTAAAAAAGAAAAGATTGCTAGGCTTTGTGGTGCATGCAGGCCTGTAATCCTAGCACCTCAGAGACTGAGGCAAAGAGGAGCATGTTTGAGGCTAGCATGATCTATGTCGTGAGACTCTGTCTCACAAAAGAAAGAAAAGATGCTACCAATGATTTAGCACTATATTTCATCAATACTCAAATGTGAAAAAAGTGTGTCCAATGGTAAAATATGATAGTTCTGATTTTTCAGAATATAAAACAGAGTTTCTTTAGACTTTGGAAGCTACTTTTAAAAACTTTAAATACTATATTGGCCTGCATTTCTGGAGGATCCAGAACTACCACTCTGTAGCCCCAGCTAGCTCCATCAGTGACTGGTTCCGATTCTCTGATGAAAGATTTTCAATAATCTTATGGTTAAGACTTTCTTAGTTATTTACCACTAAGTGGGTTGTTTTTTTTTTTTTCCACCAGAATAGGTAAACCTAGAACCTGAACACAAACCTACGTTGTAAAGTTTTTTTGTTTTTTTTTACTTTCCTTGATAGTAGTTTTTAGTTAATTGCCTGTGGAGTAACTAAGAAATGGAGAAGATATTTAACATAATTGAAGGTTGGCATGACTTCATCGTTTTAATCTCCTGGGCTCAATTTCTGCCACTCAAATGGCATTAGAACTCTCTCTCTCTCTCTCTCTCTCTCTCTCTCTCTCTCACACACACACACACACACACCACACCTGATATAATTACAACGTTCGTGCGGGGATCCAAGGGCAGGCTGAGTAATGCTCTACCAACAGTGAGCTAACCCCCTAGCGCCAACAGTCATTCTTCATCAACACCTCCATCCATGCTCAATAGCTTCCTCAGCGATTGTTAACTCTCTCCCAACTAGTTGGAAATACCAAATCACAAAGCAAGAGAAGCGCACACTTTAAGCCGTGGTGGTGAACTAGCATTACTCCGGAAGAACTCTGGACAGGCGGCTGGTAGGTTTCAACCGGAAGGCAGCAGCGTTTCTCCAAGCCTGGTGGGATGCTCCCCGATTTTAAAGTCAGTTGAGGTGCACTGTTGAAATGCTCGCTCCTGGGTCCCCCCCCCCCGGGAACATGGAAGATACCTACGCTGCACTCCAACGAGCTCAGCGTGGCACCCGGGGGACTCGGAGACCACTGTCCTAACTCCATCCATGGGGGGGGGGGGTCAGCGTTACCCAGTAACCGCTTTCACCCTCATCCACAGGGCCACTGGGCACGCTGCAGGTTACAAACCCTGCCACGATCCATGTGGCAAGACCGACGGTGGGGTGCAACCAGCCCCCTGACCCCTTCCATCTGGCTGGGGGCGTGGGGTGCGCGCTGCAATCACTGCTAGGCGAGGATACCTTTGTCACACGCCCCCTTCCCACGTCCTCGCCCCCTCCACTCCCTGCTTCCGCCCTCCCCCCTAAATCCAACTTCCAATGCTCCCCCCCTTACCCCCCATCTCCGGCCGCCCTCTCCCGGGTCCACCCCAGTGCCCGGGCTCCTCGTTCGCCTCGGGCCTGTGACTCCAGCCTTCGCCACGGGCTCCCTTCCCCGCTGTTCGAGGGCCCCCCCGCCCACGGCCCCTCGCAGTCACCCCTGCCCACACCCTGTCCCCGCTCCGCCCGGCCTGCCAGCCCCGGAGGGTACTCACCATCCCGGCGGTTGCTACTGTCACTGCTCTGGTTGCTAGGGCCCGCCGGGGTCAGCGCGCATGCGCAGCGCTCGGCGCGCTCCGCGGACGCCTGCCCCGGCAGCGGTCCTTTCTCCCCGCCCTCGGGTGGCGCGAGCGGGGCATTGTGGGACGGGGGGGACCTCCCGCGGGGTCCTCCCGTCTCTGCCTCCTGCTTCCCCGTGGCTGCCGTGTCGCTCAAAGGCCGGATGCCCTCCGTGCCCGGAGTGACAGGGGGTGTGCTTGTGTCTCCCCCATCCCCTCCCCGCGCAAGCCTCTCCAGCTGATCGCCAGTGAAGTTCCTGCCAAAAGTTGAGCTCTGGGACCTCCCCCAACGTGGCCTTTGTCCTTCTCCTAAAGGAACTTTTAAAATTCCTTTCTCCTAGATTGACGAAGGGGAGAAAACAAACAAAAACAAAAAACACCTCTGAAATTCTCCAGCGCTACACAAGATCTGATTTCTCATGTTTCCTAACCCCAGACCCTGAGACCCCCGACAGCCTGGCTCCACACGCAAGATATCTCAACATGTTGGTTTTACATAACGGACTTATTTTCCCCAAAATTAGCTAGTAATTATGGTGTGTGTGTGTGTGTGTGTGTGTGTGTGTGTGTGTGTGTTATAGAGTTACTAGGGCTGTGGAGAATAGAGGTAAGCAAATATTATTACTGCTAATAATTCGGTACAGCCTTCTAAGGAGGGCTGTTGACAATAGCATTAAGGATTTTCATATCTCTTGTGACCAGCCTGGAAGTTCCATTTCTAGTATTTTGTCCTGAAAAAAAATTCAATCAAGTGCATACACACACACACAAGCATACACATATATCTATAGTCATATACAGATGCAAAGCTTAAATAGAAACCCAAAGATGAACAAAAAAGAATTATGTCATAGTGTTGAAATGAATAGGCATTGAAAGAATATATTTTAAAGATTGCTCAAACTGGGAATTTGGCTCAGTGGTAGAGTGCTTGCCTTGCATGCATGAGGCCCTGGGTTCGATTCCTCAGAACCACATAAGTAGAAAAAGCCAGAAGTGGTACTATGGCTCAAGAGGTAAAATGCTAGCTTTAAGCTAAAGAGCTGAGAGACAGCGCCCAGGCCCAGAGTTCAAGCCCCACAACTGGCAAAAAAAAACAACAACCAAGATCTAATTCTTTGGGGATGGGAAGGTGGCTGGGTGGTAGAGCACTTGTCTTGCATGCATGAGGCCCTGGGTTCGATTGCTCAGCACCACACATGCAAAAAGAAAAAAGCCGGAAGTGGCGCTGTGGCTCAAGTGGTAGAGTGCTAGCCTTGAGCTGAAGAGCTGAAGGACAGCGCCCAGGCCCAGAGTTCAGGCCCCACACCTGGACCCAAAAAAAAAAGATTGCTCAAACACATAAATGTATGCTTATATACATAAACAGGTATCTCAAAAAGAAAATGGTGGGCTGGGAAGTTGGCTTAGTGGTAGAGTGCTTGCCTCACTTGCATGAGGCCCTGGGTTCGACTCCTCAGCACCACATAAGCAGAAAAAGACAGAAGTGGTGCTGTGGCTCAAGTGGTAGGGCACTAGCCTTGAGCCGGGAGCTGAGAGACAGCGCCCAGACCCAGAGTTCCGCCTCCCTGACCAACAACAACAACAACAAAAAATAGGATAATGGTTGTGATGGACAGAAATCTATGCTTATCAATCCTATCCTCCACAGTGACAATACAAGGAGACATGCCCATGAAGGCCGGCAAGCCTCTAACGGTGAGGCCATGAGCCAACAGGACTGATGTCCTGATCAGAGGAGTAAGAGACACCGGGAGCACCAGCACAGGAGCAAAGTCACACAGAGCTCACTTAAGAGTAACCCTATCAGCACGTTGATCCTGGCCCTCCAGCATCTCACAGCTGAGAGAAAATTAATTTTGTATTAAAGCCATTCAGTGTTAGTAGCACCCTAAGCTGACTAGCACAACCTTCTTGCTGGTCTATTTTCTGATTGTCCCGTAAAGCAGATTTATTTTTATTTTTTTGTCAGTTGAGGGTCTTGAACTCTGGGCTTGGGCACTATCCCTGAGCTCTTCAGCTAAAGGAGAGCACTCTCCACTTGAGCCACAGTGCCACTTCCGGTTTTCTGGTGGTTTATTGGAGACAAGAGTCTCGTGGAGTTTCCTGCCTAGACTGGCTTTGAACTGCGATCCTCAGATCTCAGCCTCCTGAGTAATTAGAATTATAGGCATGAGCCATCGGCACCCAGCTGAATTAGCCAATTTTGTAGACAACATACAAATGATCATGGTCAGGAGCCAGCAGATCAGATGCCTTCTTGTGTCTAACAGGTTTGATTAGGGAATTGAACTCGGCCACATCAATGTCACAGTGTCTTCACAGCCTGGTTGATCTGTTGCTTGTTGCCCTTGACATCCACAATGGACAGTGTTATCTTCTGCCTTCTTCATTGCTGACTCAGGGATGAGGGGAACTGGTAAGCGGCACTGTGGTCAAGCTTGTTTTCTCCAGCAGATGCTCTTCTAAGCATATCTGGGCTGCAACATCTTGGGCTGCAAGAAGGTGAGTGACATATGCAGCTTCTTTTTATGACTGTGGATGCTTCTTGGCCTTCAATTCTTTGGCTTTGGTTTGGCTTTGGAAAGGTGGGAGCTTTGGGTGCCGTTTTGGTGAAAGGGATCCCATGCCCATTTCCACCTTTAATTTTTGACATAAAAAATTTCATTTTGAAGACTGGTAATTGAATCACATCAAATAAAATAATCAGGGGCTGGAAGGTGGCTCAGTGGTAGAGTGCTTGCCTTGCATGCATGAGGCCCTGGGTTCAATTCCTCAGTACCACATAAGCAGAAAAAGCCGGAAGTGGCACTGTGGCTGAAGTGGTAGAGCACTAGCCTTGAGCTTGAAGAGCTGAGGGACACTGTCCAGGCCCAGAGTTCAGGACCCTTGACTGACAAAAAAAAAAAGCAGCCAGGCACAAGTGGCTCACACCTGTAATCCTAGCTACCCAGGAGGCTGAGATCTGAGGATCGTGGTTCAAAGCCAGCCCAGGCAAGAAAGTCTGTGAGACTCTTATCTCCAATAAACCGGTGGCTCAGTGGTAGAGTGCTTGCCTTGCATGCATGAGGCCCTGGGTTCAATTCCTCAGTACCACATAAGCAGAAAAAACCGGAAGTGGCTCTGTGGCTCAAGTGGTAGAGTGCTAGCCTTGAACAGAAGTGGCGCTGTAGCTTAAGTGGTAGGGCTCTAGCCTTGAGCTGAAGAGCTGAGGGACAGTGCTCAGGCCCAGAGTTCAAGCCCCACAATTGACCAAAAAAAAAAAGATAACAAGTGGGCCTGGGCACTGGTGGCCTGCCTATAATCCTAGCTACTCTGGAAGCTGAGATCTGAGGATTAAGGTTTGAGGCCAGCCTCAGGAGGAAAGTCCGAAAGAATCTTTTTTTTTTTTTTTTTGTCGGTCGTGGGGCTTGAACTCCGGGCCTGGGCGCTGTCCCTCAGCTCTTCAGCTCAAGACGAGCGCTCTACCACTTGAGCTACAGCGCCACTTCCGGTTTTCTGGTGGTTTATTGGAGATAGGAGTCTCACTGTCTCTCCTGCCCGGGCTGGCTTTGAACCGCGATCCTCAGATCTCAGCCTCCTGAGTAGCTAGGATTACAGGCGTGAGCCACCAGCGCCCGGCTTCGAAAGACTCTTAATGCCAATAAAACTGCTTAGAAAAAAAACCAAAGTGGCAGTGTGGTGCAAGTGGTAGAGTACTAACCTTGAGAAAAAGAATCTCAGGGACAGTGCTCAAGCCCTGAGTTCAAGCCCAGGACTCCCCCTGCCCGGCCCCCCCAAAAAAACATGAAAAGTGAATTGTTTTTCAAAAAACCCTTTTGTGCTGCCTGGATGCTACAACATTAGGCCCAAAGAAAAACTCTCTCAGATGACCTGGCCTACTTTTGATCTTTTTCATGAACTAGTAATGGAAGGAAGAGGTGGCAGGGTCAGTGGCAGCGCTTCAGTAACAGTGCTAGAGGCAGAAGTGGCAGTAGCCACTGGCCCAGAGTTGCTGAAGAGTTCGAGAGTGGATGAAGGGCAGAAACCATGGGGAGCAGAGGCAGCAGGGGTAAGGAAGGCCAGTGGGAATAGAGGTGAAAGTGGGTGGGAAGCCAAGGCTGAAGGAAGGAGTCTGTGAAGAGCCAGGTAAAGAAGCAGGCCCCTGTTTGCTGAAGTTCCAGAGAACTGCAATCTTTAATGGGCTAAGGGTGTCAGACCCTATGCCTGAGAGCTATATCACTGTGAGCTGCCAAGGGCAGAGGGCTGCAGCACTGTAGCCCCAAGAGCTGTATGTGACAGTAGCTGCTGTGGATCTAGCACCCAGGACCCAAGGCCCATTCAGGAAACTGTAGGACTAGCTGGCACTGCCTGCTACTTACTGCTCTGTCAGTTACTCACTGATGCTGGAAGCAAGATTACAATAGCTGTCAAGTGCTAAGGCCCTGTGGTAAAAAAGTCCAGAGCAATAAGTCTTCAACATGAACACATAGAGAAATCAGCTCAGGGTTTGCAGCAGTAAGCCTCTGGGTATGGCACTCTCAGCTGTGGGGATGCGCCTGGCCCAAGGCCTAGCAGATCTTCTGAATTAATTGGTACATGACGGGACAGACATGTATGCTTCCACTGTGCTGTCTGTGGCCAGCTGCATGTCTCGGTAATTTTGCATGGCTCCTGAGTGATGCTAGAAAATTCCAAATGGTAGAAAAAAAAGACTCCCCATTCCTTGGCACTCAGTGACCTAAGATTGTTACCACTGGAGGAGCTCTCCTCGCCAATTTACAATTTCTATCTGAGTAGAGTAAAACGATCACGCCTAACTGACCTGTAACTAAACCAGTATAGAAAACCAGTATCTATCTATCTATCTATCTGTCTGTCTGTCTGTCTGTCTGTCTGTCTGTCTGTCTGTCTGTCTGTCTGTCTATCTATATTAGTATTGTTGAGCCTCAGGGACTTAAAGAGATATCTTATTTTTTTGTTCTGGTTCTGGGGCTTAAACCCATGGCCTAGATGCTGTCCTTAAGCTTTTTGCCCAAGGCTGGTGCCCTACCACTTGAACCACAGCTCTACCTTTGGGCTTGGTAGCTTTTCCCCCTTTTGGTAGCTAATCTGTTAAGTCTCATGGACTTTCCTGCCTGGCTTCAAACTACAATCCTCAGATCTCAGCATGATTACAGGTGTGAGCCACCAGCACCAGGCCACTACCAATCTTTTTTTTTTGGTTGGTTGTGTGGCCTGAACTCTGGGCCTGGGCACTGTCCCTCAGCTCTTCAACTCAAGGCTAGTTTTCTACCACTTGGGCCACAGTGCCACTTCCAGCTTTTTCTGCTTATGTGGTGCTGAGGAATCAAACCCAGGGCCTCATGCATGCAAGGCAAACACTCTACCACTGAGCCACCTTCCCATCCCTACTATCAATCATTTTTAACAAGAAATAGTAACAGGAAAAATGGAATGAACATTAAAGTTCCATTTAGTAGAGATAAGAAGACATTTAATGCTAGGAACTTTTGCTGCAGTTTTGTGCTTAGTATATACCAGAAGAAAGGAATATACTGCCAAGTTACAGTAGGGGTTTGGAGTGTGGACAGCTGGCGGAAGAGAGGTGTTCAGCAGATAAAATGTCAAATCCTAGCCACCATCCAGGGAGGATGAATGTTCCACCACAATATGTGGGAGGAAAAAATTAAACAATTAAGGCGCTTACTTTGTTTTCAGATGACATATTAACTACCAAAGCAAACCATCCATAAGGAGGCCAGATACTCTCCAGAAAAGGCCTCTAGTACCTGGGGCCACAGGAAGACACTGGACGGGCAGCACGCTTGTAGCCAGCCTGTTTGTAGCCAAGTATCAAAACTCAGTACTGCCCATAGTGAGAGGCCAGCAGTGTTGTGCCATTACCTCCACTTTGAAGTTGGGTTGTTTTGTTTGTAATCATGTCATTTAGCATCTGGCAAATGCTGGGTTCACAGCCACATGCGCTCCATGCATGTGAAGCTGTCTCCCAGATCCAGGCCCCTGACCAGATCGAGGCCATAGCCATCTTGTGGTGGGGCAGTGCATCACCAGGCAACTGTCCTCCAGGGCTCCTCCCAGGAGCTTTCTAATTTAATTAAAACTACTAGTGCTGTAGCTGTAGTGGCTTTGATGTGGGCCTGGTATTCCAGGCCTGGAAACAACACCACATAGTCACAACGTAGGAGCCTGAGGAGCACCCAACAAAGTACTTCAAGATGTTGTCACTGAGGCGGCCACCGTGGAACCACCGCAAAGAGTCAGGATGTCATAATCAAGAAAGAGAAGTCATGATTTCTTTTCTTTTTTTTTTTTTGGGTCCGGTCGTGGGGCCTGAACTCTGGGCCTGGGGGCTGTCCCTCAGCTCTTCAGCTCAAGGCTAGCGCTCTACCCCTTGAGCCACAGGGACACTTCCGGCTTTTTTCTTTTTGCTTATGTGGTGCTGAGGAATCGAACCCAGGGCCTCGAGCATGCAAGGCAAGCGCTCTACCACTGAGCCACCTTCCCAGCCCCAGAAGTCATGATTTCCAACAAAACATCAGTGCCAGTTGTCTCCACTAAAACCCTCACTGGCCACCACAGGGCACTATTCCCTTAAGCTGGCTTGAAGGAAGCCACTTGTGCCAGGCAAATTCATGTCCTTCCTTGAAATAATTGTTTCATTGTAAGAAAGACTGATGAGGTTAACATTTAAATGTTTCAGATGACTGAGTTGAGCTGTATTAAAATGGCAGATGTGACAAAAAAAAACTAGAGCAGAGAAAGTTCCTTGACTTGAATGCTATAAAGCCCAGTTGGGATGGGGGTGTAGAAATTTGGCTTTTTAACTGAGAAAGCTGAAAGGAAAAAAAAAATCCTCTATTGTTGTGTGGCCTGACACAAGTATGAACAATGTGTATTTTGTTTGTAAAAAAAAATCTTACATAATACAACTTTTAGGATTTATTTTTGTTTAGAAGAGGCACTGAACTTAGATAATAAAACCATGTTTTTCCATTCATTCATGCCAAAAATGGTTGTACTTCAAGTTGGTAATGGTAACTACCCTTGAGAGGAGACTGAAATTGGATAATGAATTAAAAAGGTCCTTTTAAAAAAAATTTTTTTTGGCAGTACTGGAGTTTGAACTTAGGGCCAGGCACATGGCACTCTACCATGTGAACCACACCCACAGCTCTTTTTGCTTTCGTTATTTTTCAAATGATGATTCACATTTATGTCTTTTTTTCTGTTTGAAAAGGATCTCAATTTATGTGAGAGCTTGTCCGGACCATGCTGTCTGTGCTTTGTGCATCGCTAGGATAACAGGTCAGCACACCCAACTTCTACTGATTGAGTAGGAAATCTTGTGAATTTTTTTTTTTTTAATCAGTCATGGGTCTTGAACTCTGGGCCCAGGCACTGTCCCTCAGCTCTTCAGCACAAGGCAAGCACGCTACCAGTTGAGCCACAGTGCCACTTCCGGTTTTCTGATGGTTTATTGGAGATGAGTCTCAAAGACTTTCCTGCCCAGACTGGCTTTGAACCTCGATTCTCAGATCTTAGCCTCCTGAGTAGGTAGGATTACAGGTGTGAGCCACCGGTGCCGGGCTCTTGTGAATTTTTTGCGTGGGCTAACCTCCAACCAAGATCCTCCTTATCTCTATTTGTGAAGTAGCTGGAATTATAGGCATGAGCTACTATGCCAACCAATACCTTTTTTCATCTGTATTACTTTACTTTTTCACAATGAAGAATGCACATATAAATATATCTTTTGTGTATATACCAATCTTGGGACTTGAACTAAGGACCTCTTGCTCTTGCTTTGCTTTTTAACTCATGGCTGGTGCTCTACCACTTGAGCCATGCCTCTACTTACAGATTTTTTCCGGTTTATTAAGACTCTCTTGGATTTGTCTGCCTGGGTTCAAATTGTGATTTGAAGATCTCAGCCTCCTGGAGTGGCTAGGATTATAGGCGTGAGCCACCAGCACCTGGATGCTTCACAGACTTTTTACCATTGAGATGTTTATGAAAAAAAGTTTGAATCTTCAGCCAGGCATCTTCCTGTGCCCTTGAGTGAGCCTTTGGCTCTCCTCCATAGAACACTGCTTCACCCAGCACTGCATGCACAGAGGCTCTGGAGGGAGGAAAATAAGGTGGGTCAATACAATGACCAGTTTCTGGATAGTAGATTATTTGCGGTCTGTCTTTCCCATGGGCTTGTAACCGTTCAGAGGCTATTTGTGCATAGAACGCACTCTTCCAGTTATGATCATCCATACCAACAATAAACAGAAAGGGCCCTTGGGCCTTTTCCAATGGAATGAGACTTCCGTGGTTGGGTTCCTCCAGTGGATTATTCCAGACATCTACAAAATCCAAAAGGCCTGACTCAGTGGTTTTTTGTTTTGAGGAGTCAGTGCCAAGATCAGAAATGATCATATCCTTGTAATGCAGAGGAACTATAGTGTTGGCCACACAGGCATTGATAAGTACAGTGGCTGTGATGTCCTTCAGGAAAGCAGCCATGGAAAGACACAGGTCACCTCCTTTGGAGAAGCCAAGAAGCCCAATGCTAGGACCTTTCACCTGAGGAGAAATGGGGGAGGAGAATAAGCCCAGAATCCATAGGTAAATGGATTTTTACATTCTCTCAGTAGTTTTCTCAAATATAACTTGCTTCCCTTCTGTTTGTTTGTTTGTTTTTGGGTCCGGTCGTGGGGCCTGAACTCTGGGCCTGGGCGCTGTCCCTCAGCTCTTCAGCTCAAGGCTAGCGCTCTACCACTTGAGACACAGCACCACTTCCGGCTTTTTTCTTTTTGCTTATGTGGTGCTGAGGAATCGAACCCAGGGCCTCAGGCATGCAAGGCAAGCACTCTACCACTGAGCCACCTTCCCAGCCCCTTGCTTCCCTTCTTTAGGCAACAATATACAAAGTCCAAGTGTATCTTCCATTGATTTCCTAGTATATAGGCCATCTCCTAATATATATACAGGGAGGACCTTATACCTAAACCAAATGAAAACTGTTAAATATATTCTTTGTCCCCCCCCCTTACCTTGATAAGTATAATACCATAAAATTTTACAAGATTGGCTCTAATTTAAAACCTTAGGACTCACTGGAGTTCTGTATTGAAATGTGGCACAGGCTGGGCACTGGTGGCTCATGCCTATAATCCTAGCTACTCAAGGGTTGAGATCTGAGGATTGCAGATACAAGCCAGCCTGGTAGGAAAGTCACTGTGAGACTCTTATCACTACTCAAAAACCAGAAGCAGAGCTGTGGCTCAAAGTGGTAGAGCAAAAGAGGTCAGGGACAGCACCCAGACTTTTCTATCAGACATTCTTTACAAAAGCGTAATGCTACTTATCATACTTATCATACTTAGATGGTATTCCTTAATACCATCAAATACACTGCTCCTATTCAAATGTCACCGATTGCCTCAAAAACATGTTTTTAGTTAGATTATTCCAGCTACACTTTAACATTAGCATTATAAATGAGAAAAGTTAAATCTCTGAGAGAGCACCTGCCTTATTCAGGATGGTAAGCCACTGTGTGGTAGAGATAGAACCAGAACACAGCGTTAGTACTGACTTAGTTCAGTACTCTTTGAACGACAACAAATAGTCACAAAGGGAACTAAAATATTCAAGTCTTTAGAGACAGGTGGAAATGAAATCATAATTAGTAACTAGAATTTTTTTTTTTTTGGTCAGTCATGGGGGCTGAACTCTGGGCCTGGGTGCTGTCCCTCAGCTCTTCAGCTCAAGGCTAGCCCTCTACCACTTGAACCATGGAGCCATTTCTGGATTTTTTTCTGCTTATGTGGTGCTGAGGAATCGAACCCAGGGCCTCATGCCTGCGAGGTAAGCACTCTACCACTGAGCCAACTTTCCAGCTCTAGTAACTAGAATTATTAACTAGTAATAATAAATAGTAACCTTACAAAGAGCCTTTGTGTTTCCTTGTATGTCCTGGTAAGGCTTTTGGGTCCAGTCCTGTGTTCACTTCTATTCCATTCAGGAAAACACTGGGACTCACCTTTGGATGTTGCAGCATAAAACACACAGCTTCTTCAAAGTACTCCAGGCACACGTCACTCAAATACTCAGGGAGGTCTTCATATCTGAAATAAGCCAGGGCAAGCACAGCAAAACCATGTCCTGCCAGGAGGCTGGCTCTGTATTCACAGAGACCACCGCCACTTCCAAACAGATCAATGATCCCTGCAAAACACCCCTCACCTGCAGAAAACAGATCATGGGAAGCTTTAGGCTCCCAAATACCATTCTGAAACAGAGCCAACTAACTGTGGAAAGAGAGAAAGAAAGGGGAAGGGAAGGGAAAGGAAGAAAAGGGAAGGAAGATGTTCTGAGTTTGAGATTTTGGCAGTCAGCAGGGGGAAAATCGGGAAAAAGGATTCTATTTTAATTTTTGGTTTTAATAACCCACAGAGGAAGTGGTGCTGTGGATCAAGGTGGTAGAGTGCTAACTTTGAGTGAAAGAGCTCAGGGACAGCATCCAGGCCCTGAGTTTAAGCCCCATGATCAACAAAATAAAAGCAAACCTACAGAGACAGAGGACAATAAATAAAAGAGCTTAATTTCTGATTTTTGTCATATACTTGCATAAACAATACTATAAATGCACATATATAGAAATAACATATAAGATGTACATTTCCACCAACTTTTCTTTCTCATTTTTCTCAAAAAGCAATATCTACCTGACAACTGTCAAATTTTTAAAGAACACCCTCACTAAATCTGCCAAATTTTTGGCCATGCCAGCGAGCCAAAAAAGCCAAACGTGAGAGGCCCTAACTTCAAGCCCTGGTACCAATACACACACGGAAGAAAGAATGCCAGACGTGGGGGGCTCTGGTGGTTCACACCTGCGATTCTAGCTATTCGCAAGGCTGAGATCAGAGGCTCCGAGGATGGAAGCAAATCCACCTAGGAAAGTCCGGAAGACTTTATCGCTCTGCTGAAGGAGTTGGCCTATAGTATAGAGAGCCAACCAGGAGAGCGCATACCAGAGAGAACTCCAAGGCAGTTCAAGTTCCAGCCACGGGGAGGGGTGGAGGGACCCGGGGGGCGGGGAAGGGGGAGTTTAGACGTTCCGTGATCACGTGGTTAGCAGGCTAAATCAAAGACCAGGGACGAGACCAGACCTAGGGACCTACTCAGGCCCTGGGCAGCGGCGGCTCACCTGGCGGCAGGAAGAGGGTGGCCCGCACCCGGCCCTCGCGCACCAGCACCCGCCGCACCCCGGCCGCCATGAAGTGCCGCTCGTGCACCGCCCGCGCCAGCACGCGCCCGCCCTCGGGCTCGCCGGGCCCGGCGGGCTCGCGGCCGTCCAGCACCTCCAGCTCCAGCAGCAAGGGCGTCTGCACGTCCCGCTTGAGCAAGCGCCAGAAGGGCCTGTCGGGCTGCAGGGCCCAGACGAGCCCCATGGGCTCGAGCCCCGCGAAGCTGCCGCCCAGCGCGGGCGCGCGCTGCAGGTCCAGCTGGCCGCGGGCGTCGGCGCGGTAGCGCGCGTGGGCCCGGAAGAGCGCGCCCTTCTCGTCGCGCAGGGACGCGCGCAGCGCCACGGGCTGCTCGGGGGCCAGGCCGTGCACGGCGATGCGCACCGGCTCGTCCCAGCACACGCGGCCCGCGGGCTCCACCACCACCCTGGGCGCCGCCATGCAGACCAGGGTCCCAAATCAGAATATACTGGCTGGATGGATCTGGTTAGGGGAATTCAGTCACCACTGACTCTTCTGCTTCTGCCCTTCGACTGGGAGCCGCTGGCCCGCTGTGGAGGATGGCAGGGTGGAGAGGTGATCTGCTCAGACTAATGATTAATTCTGAGCTGAAGTAGAGCAGAGAGCACGTGATGGTTGCGAAAGGGATCTTCCTCCCTCCCTCTACTTTCAGCTGCTACCCATATCCTTCCTCCAAAACCAAAATACTAAATCAAAGTCAACGCTTATGGTTCCAGATTTTTTCTCTCTCTCTCCCTCCCTCCTTCCCCCCCTCTCTCCTTCTCCCCCTCCCCCCTCCCCCCTACTCTCAGATATGGTCTCACTAGGCAGCCTGGACTAGCTTCAATTTTTCAATCTTCCTGTTCTAGCCTCCCAAATGCTGGGATTACAAGTGTGTGACTGGCTTCAGCTCTTAACTCATTTAAATGTTACAAATTCATGCTGTCTTGAATTATATCTGTTGTCCAACCCAAATCCAGGAATTTAACCACAAACTTGTGTGGATGAAAAGTAATCCTTCCTCCACCTTGTCCCGGGGCTACTATTGTCCTTGGAGAGCACAGAAAGGCTTTGGGGATGGCAAGTTCCTGTACTGACAGCACATTCTGTTGAATGTGGACACACACGATAGGCATTCGCCAGCCAGGCTGGTTGACAAGGGGCAGAAATGGATGAACAAGTTTTTGTGATCTAATAAAATAAGCACAGATTTAAGAAGGGAGAAGGAACTCAATTGGAGAGTGCTAGCGAGGAATCTAAGCAACTCCATTTCACTTAAGACCCCCATCTCAGTTCTGCAACTTAACCCTTGACCCACTTCAGCCCCAATGCCTGGAATTACCATAGCTGAAATTCCAGAACAGCCCCTCCTAGGGTCTGGTGACCATTATCTAAAGCAGACACCCTGCAGTTCAGCACCTATCCTCTTGAGACTCACTCCCCGGTGGTGCAAGCCAACCAGCTTAAAGTACATCAGCCCCCTTGATCTAACCAACAACTTGCTTCTGGTCCTTTCCCCTGCTTTGTAGTGTGCCAATCATACTATAGAGTTGTTTTATGATTTTCCCGCGGTTTGTAGTCATTTGTTACAAGAAATTATGATGTATGCAAAGCCCCTGCCTTCCCTAAAAAATGTATAAAAAGTGCTGTAACCCTGGGCTCGGGGCCTCTCAGTGTCCTGGGCTGCTGCCATGTGGGGAGGGGGGGAGGGGGCACCAAGCTTGAGCTTGCAATAAAGACCCCTTTGCTTTTACATTGGTGATGGTCTCTGGTGGTCTTTTGGGTAAGGATTTCTGAATTCGGCTTTACATTTGGTGTGTTGGCTGGGAATCCCCCCCCCCCCCCCCAAGCCCACCCAGACGCCTTAACCAAGGAGTCATGAGAAACCTGGCCGATAAGTCTGAGGCATTGCCATTCTGTCTTTGTCTGAATCTGAAAACCTAGGTGTCTGTCTGGTCGGCAAAAGGGCTTGGTGGACGCACTATAAGGCTGCCGACGGGGGTCTGTGGGAGAGGTCCCCGTTGCTTCATCTGAGTGGATTGTTATCTGCTGGAGATTTTTCTCCCGCACCTGCTTGACTTTCCACACCTGAACCGGAGTGGCCACATCTGAGTGGATAGTTGTCTGCTGGAGATAGATTTTCTCCGGCACCTGCTTGACTTTCCACACCCCCGCAGCGCTTTCATTTCGTGTCATCTATCTGTCGTAATTATGTTTCTTCCTTGCCCTGAGACCACTGTTCATGATATTTATTTTTGATTTTCCGCAGGAAACTAACCAGACCAGTCTCCCCCCGGAAAATTTGTGCTTGTTTCCATTGTCCTGTCCTCTCCCTCCCCTGACTCTTGCTGGTTAATAATGCACAGCATTTGCTGGTTTTTTGTGTGTCATAACCTTGATTTTATAAATTGCTTATTCCTGTTTGTTTGCTAGATTAGTGCTGGACATTTTAGTTGGCCTGACTACATGTGCATGTAAAGAAGGGCGGGGGGGGGGACTTGGTGAAATTCTTCTAACACCCTGCTGGTTCTGTTTTTGTACTTGCTTCTTTGTCAATTATGAAACTGTCACTGGCCACCTGCAAGTGGCCCCAGCAAGATCTCAGCCTCAGGCCTTGGCTCAGGGGGTCTGAGCACGGGGGAGAACCTGTCAGTCTGAGGGGACAGCCACTAGGGACTTCTTTCTCTTGCCCAAGATGACTGGGAGTTCTTCTCCGCCTAGAAGGCCCCTGGGTCAACGTTTGCAGGAATCTGAAAGAAAAATCCTCTGGAATGAGTAGAGGGGGTTTGAGTTGCCTGGTAAGTGGATTTGAGATGTCGCCCCATTCACTGAGACCTGATTTTGTCTTTGTGGCCACTTGTCTGTCTTGTTTACTTGGGTGTGTTTTCTGTTCTATGTTTCCTGGGGTAGGGAAGGTCTGGGTGAGAGTGGCAGGCTCACTCAGCAGACTCTGGATTCAGCTTGCTGAGTGAAAACAGCACAGAGTTCTGGTAGAGATAAACTGGAGTCCTGTTAGTCCCCAACTCAGCCTTTGGTTGTTGTCTTGTCTAGTTCTGTTTTAGAACTGGTACTAGTTTTAAATGTGGATCCTTGGTTTTTGTATTTATTTGTGTTTTTGTTATTTATTTGAATATCTCTGTGGGAATAAAAGTTTCAGCCTCTGGCTGGGCTCGGTCACAGACCTGCTATGCCCCCCTCCCTGTGAGGCCTGGAAGGTTGCTGGGCTGGTTTGGTTCCCTTCAAGCCTCAGGTTTCATTTTCTCCTAGTGGAGGCTGCCATCGGTGAGGGTGTAGAAGGCTGTGTGCCTGGTTTGGACTTTTCAGCTAGTCCTGACTATGTAACAATTTGAAAAGTGCTCTTGTCTAAAATTGGATTAAAAAAAAATCAGGCCAGTTTAGTTTCAGGTGATCCCCTCCCCAGCTCTCCAACAGAAGGGATTCAAAGACCCATTGGTGAATTGCCTGGCTAAATAAGCAAGCTCTGGGAAAATGAAGCTCAACAAACGTACTTAGTTTAAAAGAAATACTTGGGGGCTGGGAAGGTGGCTCAGTGGTAGAGCACTTGCCTTGCATGCCTGAGGCCCTGGGTTCGATTCCTCAGCACCACATAAGCAAAAAGAAAAAAGCCGGAAGTGGCACTGTGGCTCAAGTGGTAGAGCACTAGCCTTGAGCTGAAGAGCTGAGGGACAGCGCCCAGGCCCAGAGTTCAGGCCCCACGACCGGACCCAAAAAAAAATAAATAAAAGAAATACTATCTTAAATTTTTGTTTAAAAACTTTAGAAAATGTATGTACAACTGATTTTGATTTTTGCGTGCTTTTAGATCTGTATGAGTGTTTTGTATGTTTGTGAACATGTCTGAGGTAAGAATTGTCAGGATGCTGTAACAATGGGGTGAGTTTAAGTGTCAAATTTAAAAGGTTCTGAGGTTTGGACATTACCAAAAATTTTTAAAGAACTTTCACATTATTTTAAAAGGCCTTTCAAGGATTCTTTAACTTAAAAATTAGAAAATCTGGTATTTTAAAATCTAATATTTTTAAATGCATAAGGCTAATACTGTAATAAGGTTATCTGGCTTAACAAAAATGCATTGGGTGTTTGGGATTTAGTTCCCTTGATTAAAATTTGGGGATAAATACTAGAAATTTAATTGTAAAGGTTAGTTTAACACTGTCAAAGGTGTTACCTGTTCTGTCTAAAAGTGTATTTCATTCAAGAACCAAGAGAAAAGAAAGGAAAAAAAAACAACTTAGAAGCCAACAGGAGTGAGGGGTGAGCAGGCAGAAGTGAGTTCAGCTGGTCATGTATGGTGGGACAGGCCCTGAGGAAGTCCACAGATAATGGGACAGGCCCTGGGAGGAGTCCACGCATGGTGAGAGAGGGCAAGCTGGCACAAACGCAGTTCATCTAACCCTAAAGAGTCGGATTGGGTGCGTGCCCATTCCATAGGAGGGGCCAAGTGGCCCATCTTTGTTCTGTCCCTTTTCCCTGCAGATATACACTGGAAACATGATGGTTAAAATTAGTGATGTGATGATCTGAGTAGTATTGCTAAAACTGCCCCTTGGATGTGTTAAAATTAAAATTAAATAGGCCTTAAAAAGAGAGTTAAAAAGCTTATTTGTATAATGTGACTTGCTTTCAATGATGTTCTACAAGTAGGATATATTTTTAAAAGTCATAAAGGTGTTAAGTCTTGGTACAGTGATGGTGATTGTAATTCTTGCATTAAGGAAAAATTGTCATTTCAGTTTAAAAGTTTTAATGTGTATCTGTTTTAAAACAAGCAGCCAAGAGACAATGAGTGACACTTGGCCTCAAGATTTCAAAGGATCTTTCCAAAACACAAACGAAAACTAAAGTATAAAGTATTAAAGGAGATTAAAAATTAGAAATGGGGGGCTGGGAAGGTGGCTCATTGGTAGAGCGCTTGCCTTGCATGCCTGAGGCCCTGTGTTCGATTACTCAGTACCACATAAGCAAAAAGAAAAAAGCTGGAAGTGGCGCTGTGGCTCAAGTGGTAGAGCGCTAGCCTTGAGCTGAAGAGCTGAGGGACAACGCCCAGGCCCAGAGTACAGGCTCCATGACCGGACCCCCCCCAAAAAAAATTAGAAATGGATTTTTGGATATAAAGTTTAAAAGTAAAATTGTTCTTAACATTTGCCTCAAAGTGAACAAAGAAAAAATTAGGATTACCAAAATAATTGCTATTCCAGTTTGCTCTTATTTTTTAAAGTTTTCAGCAAGCCCAGAGAAAAGCACAGAGGATTCTTACAAGTTTGTCAGATGTAACTTTGGCTCTTAATAAGTTTCAGGTAAGAGCATGCTTAAACTTCTATGTTGACCACCTTGTTGCTTTTAATTGGAGTAAAGTGGCCTTTTATGAGACTCATTGATCTGCAAACTGGTTCAAAGCCACCCCGGGCAGAAAAAGGTCCCTGTGAAACTGTCACCTCTACTCAGCCAGCAGAGTGCTGAAAGAGCAAGCAGAGTTGCTTTGGGACTTAAAGTGGCAGAATGCTAGCCTTGAGCTGAGGGACAGCACTCAGGCCCCAAATTCAAGTCCAGCGACCAGCTAAGGGAAATGCCAATGAGGCATTTATCCCAGTGTAGAGAAGACACTCCTGGGACAAGAGCAATGGAGGAGCATGCAGAGGCAGTAAGCCACTGCTAGGATGGCAGAAATGTCAGATCATAGAGTTATTTGTGCATGGCCCTTCAAGAATTGGTTAGAGCCAGGAGGTCATGGGAAGATAGTTTGTAAGCATGTCTAATGTCCATGACTATCTACCTTATAAGGGACAGGAACTTGCCATCCTCTGTGATAGTAGTAAAAAGCTAAAGTTATAAAATGTGGGGGATAGTTTAAACCCCAACCCCTATATGTGCCAAAAGCTCTCATTGGCAGTAACTTTTGAGCTGACACCAGCTACATGAAATTCATCTGCTCAGGAAAAAAGTTTGTAAACCTGAGAGTGTGTTTCTACTGGTATCTGCTTGAAGGCCTACATAGGTAACTTAGGCATTGTTAGGATCATTAGAGATCACATTCCTAAGCCATCCAGAAAGATGCTTTTGCAAACCAGAGTGCTAAACAAGCTACACTGCTGTAGCCGGAGAAAAGGTTTGTGCATTTGTCAAAAGTTAAAATATTGTTCTTAATGACATTTAACCCTGGTAACCTCTCTTTGTAAAATAGGCTAGGGTTATAGGTTCCTGGCTAGGTAGGATCCACACCCCTGAGCCAGCTTGAAGAAGTTACAGAAGATGAATCTTCGCCCATCTTCCCCTTTTAAGAACAAAGGACCAGAGTCACTTAAAAAAAGTGGCAAAATAGACAGAAGGAAAAGGCATGGAAAATAGTAGTACAGGCCTGAGCCCTCTATATCTGCCTGAAAAAAGTCTAAAAAAGTTTAAAAAGTTGTCATCTTGGTAAATTGTCCTGGGCTATTGTCTAAATAGTCTTAAAAACTAGTGAGGTCACAGCCTGCCAAGCCTATGTATTACTTGTATTCTTAACCAGTCTGTGTAGGAATTTGCAGCCCAGCATGAGGTGTGACAGTTGTTTGGAGCCACTGAGAGACCCTGCTGCTGCTGCTGCTGCTGCTGCTGCAGCTGCACACCCTAATGGGTAAAGCTCAACGACAGCCTGACAGTCACCTGGAGGAAATCTACATCATCACCAAGACCACCTTCACCATGGTAAAAGTAGACTGAACTCCTGCCTGATTCCATCACCTGAGACTGCTTCCCTGTTGAAAGCTGCTAAAACTAAGATCTTGTGGGACATTCTTTTGGTGATATCCAGAAACCCTCTCTGCTCCCACAATAGGTATTGGGGGCAAGGATATCACTGGCTTGCCTTAGGCACTTCAGGGTCACAGCCTAGTTTGGCTCTGGTATGGTAATAATCTGCTTCCTCCCCATTGCGGGTTAAAGATATTTTTTTTAATTAATGGAGGTGGTAAATGAGACCCAGCCCTACTCTTAGCCTTAAAATCTAGCAAGCTTCTGCATCCATGGTGCCTTAAGGCTGTTCTGAGATAACTAGGTTCCGCAAGCCAAAGGGAAATTGGGCAGTTTTGAACTCTAGCCACAAAGAAGCTCAAGGAATTGTAAAGAAGAGGAGGGTAGTAAAGAAAGCCTTGGGAAAGGAATTGGGGAAAAATTGATATCCTCTGGATAAAAAAGGATTTAAAAAGGATTGTCTTAAAATGTTTGTAAAGAAGACAAACCTCAGAAAGTTTAAGTATGTAGTAAATGGTATGAGTATGTCCTAAAATTAAAGCTTACAAGTACAGCTGGTATAAAAGTAAGTTAGCTGCGATATACGGAGTCAGGACTGGTAGAAAAGAATGTAAAAAATGAATGTTGGTACTGTTAATTTTGTTACTCACAATTGGACCTTGTATACTCAACAGACTGGTGTCCTTTGTAGAAGAAAAAGATCAGCGCAGCCCATCTATTAGTTCTGAGATCCCAATACCAAACTGTAAATATAAATAAGGGGACCATGATTGGTCCCTGATGCTCTAAAAGAGGAGGGAATGAGGAACCTAAGCAACTCCATTTCACTTAAGACCCTCATCTCAGTTCTGCAACTTAACCCTTGACCCACTTCAGCCCCAAAGCCTGGAATTACGATATCTGAAATTCCAGAACAGCCCCTCCTAGGGTCTGGTGACCATTATCTAAAGCAGACACCCTGCAGTTCAGCACCTATCCTCTTGAGTCTCCCCTATGGTGCAAGCCAACCAGCTTAAAGTACATCAGCCCCCTTGATCTAACCAACAACTTGTTTCTGGTCCTTTCCCACTTTGTAGTGCGCCAATCATACTAGAGTTGTTTTATGATTTTCCCGCAGTTTGTTGTCATTTGTTACAAGAAGTTATGATGTATGCAAAGCCCCTGCCTTCCCTAAAAAATGTATAAAAAGTGCTGTAACCCTGGGCTCGGGCCTCTCAGCGTCATGGGCTGCTGCCATGTGCGCCCGGGGGTGAGGGGTAACCAAGCTCAAGCTTACAATAAAGACTCCTTTGCTTTTACATTGGTGATGGTCTCTGGTGGTCTTTTGGGTAAGGATTTCCAAATTCGGCTTCACACTAGAACCCTGACTAGGCTATAAGCATGTGTGTGTATACGTGCCTGTAGTGGGGCTTGAACTCAGGGCTTCGGCACTGTCCCTGAACTTTTTTGCTTAGAGCTAGTGCTTTACCACTTGAGTCACATCTAGCTTTTTGCTAGTTAATTGAAGAGGTAAGAGTCTTATGGTCTTTGCTGCCCAGGCTGGCTTTAAATCACGATCCTCAGATCTTGGCTTTCTGAGCAGCCAAGATTACGGACTGAACAACTGATGCCTAACTTGCTATGAACTTTTTTTTTTGTCGGTCATGAAGCTAGAACTCTGGGCCTGGGCGCTGTCCCTCAGCTCTTCAGCTCAAAATGAGCACTTTACCATTGGAGTCATAGCGCCAGGTTTTCTGGTGGTTAATTGGAGATAAGAGTCTCAAAACCTGAGCTGGCTTTGAACTGTGATCCTCAGATCTCAGCCTTCTGAGTAGCTAGGATTATAGGCATGAGCCACCAGCACCTAGCTGAACTTCTTTAAGACTGGGATTCCTCACTGAGAAAATGAAGTTTTCACCAGGTACGAACTTTTTTGCTCATACCTTGAGCAAAAAAGCTCAGGGACATGCCTAAACCCTGAGTTGAAGCCCCAGGAATGGTACCAATAAAATAAAAAGGTCTTTAGCCTCAGAGAACAGTGAGATTCTTATCTCCAATTAACCACTCAAAACCAGAAGTGGAACTGTGGCTCAAAGTGGTAAAGTGCTAACCTTGAGCAAAAGAGCTCAGGGACAGCACCCAGACACTGAGTTCAAGCCCCACAATCGATCAAGAAAAACAAAACAAAACCATAAGAGTCTATATGTATAAACAGGAACTTAACTATTTTATTTGCTAGAAAAATCCTTTTTCGTCCAAGGAAAAGATAATAAAGAACTACAAAAAATTTCTTTTGAATTCTTTCTTATTTTTATATCTAATGATCAGTTTGCAGTAAGATGTTACTTCTATAGTAATAGAAAAAAAACTCAAATCTGGTATTATGAAATTTTTGATCTTACAGTTGTCACACAGTATTCATAGGGGATTACTCAGACCCCTTGGATATTAAAACCTGTAGAGGTTCAATGACACATAATTTCCATATAACTTCCTGTATCCTTTAAAATCACTGTGCATTATTTAGAATATCTAGAACAGTGTAATTACTGTACAAATAGTTGTTATATTGTGTTATTTAGGAAATGGTGATATCAAATGAGTCTGCATAAGGTTAGTACAGATGCTGTATTTTTTGTTTGCGTGCTGATACTGGGACTTGAACTCTGGCCTCCTACTCTTGCTTGTCTTTTTGTGCTCAAAGTTAGTACTCTCACAGCTCATAGAGTGGTTAGCTTCAAACTTCAGTTCTCACATGTCAGTCTCCTAAGTAGCTAGGAGTATAGGCCTAAGTCACCAGTGCCTGGCCAGATATAAAATATACATATGTATATGTATATATACACACACACATATGTGTGTGTATATATATTTATATATATGTATATATACCCATATATATGTATATATAGTTTAATCTGCAGTTACTTGGATCTGCAATGTAGAACTGACAGTCATAAATGTATTGTATATACTTCTCTTACAATTAATAAGAAAAGCACAGTAACTAGTCATAAGGCATTCCGTAAATAATCACTGCACTTTAATTCTAAAGCTGGCTCTCCTAATCCGTGTTACTCACATTGCTTTTCAGAGCTAAACCCTTGCCAGTTTCATGTTGTGCCACAGTAAGGGGCAGACTTTCCCTACCTCTTAAGTTCTCTACAAAATCCCCCAGCTCCCAAACTGAGAAAGTCTGAAGTTTATGTTAAAAACTTTTGAGAAGCCAGGTGCCGGTAACTCACACCTATAATTCTAGCTATTCAGGAGGCTGAGATCTGAGGATCATGGTTCAAAGCCAGCCCAGGCAGTCCAGTCAGGAAAGTCCGTGAGACAGACTCTCATCTCCAATTGACCACCAGAAAAACGGAAATGGCACTGTGGCTCAAATGGTAGAGCACTCACCTTGAGCTGAAGAGCTGCCAGACAGCGCCCAGGCCCAGAGTTCAAGCCCACCACTGGCAAAAGACAAAAACAAAAAACCTTTTGGGAAAGAAACTAAGAATTTATTACAAAGAAAAGTATGTTAAAAGTGGCGGCGATTCCTAGGGCAGACCAGCATCAGAGGTCACTCAGTCAACTAGAAATTACAGTTTTGCTGGGACTGTGCCCTCTGTGCCACCCACGTGTTTGTGGAAGAAAGTCTGGAGTTGCTTCCACGCATCCAGCTGGGCCATGGCATGAGCCTTGGGTTCTCCTCCAAACAAGACATTAGCCCCAACCAAGAAGTGCAAGCCAGCCCTGCACAAGGGGAAGTAAGGGGGCTCAATATAGTGCCCTGTCTCGGGGTAAAGGATGATCTGAGGCTTTTTTTTCCCATGGGCCTGTAGGCGCTCAGAGGTCATATTAGTATAAAACTCGCTCTTCCAGTTGTGGTCATCCTGACCTACAAGGAACAGGAAGGCAGTGTCAGACCTTTCCACAGGAAAGATGCTCTTCTGATCAGGTCCTTCCAAAGGGTTGTTTATGCCATCCACAATATCCATGATGCCATCTTTGGTTGTTGTGACCCGACGGTGGTCCATGCCCACCGGGGGCACAGTCTCATCCTTGTAGCATATGGTTCCCCCAACACTGGATAGAGAGCCATTGATTATAACAGCAGCGGTGATGCCTTTCAGGAAAGAGGCCATGGCAATACCAAGTTCTCCCCCTTTGGAAATTCCAAGCACTCCAACTCCAGAGCCCTTTACCTGAGAGATGGATAGAGAGAAAAGAAGGGAAATGAGTTCACATGGAAGGGAGTATGGTGAACAGTGCCAAATCTGGGACCTCAGGTAGATCTGAGCCTGAATCTGACTCTATGATTATCCCTGCTTTAGAAATCTTGTTAAGCCCATATAAAGCTCACTGTCCCCAGTTATAGGCTAAGGCTCACCTCTGGGCTACAGAGACCCTGTGAAGCACAGTGAGGAGCCCCAGGGAAGGTGCTGCACATGGAGATGTCAAAAAGGTACACTCAGACAAGTCAAAATGTTTTGCTCTTTAATCTCTGGTATCTGCTCCCCCAGGAACCCAGCACTCACAAAAGGTCATGATTATCTGTGAAAAGGAAGGTGAATCTGAGAAACTTCCCATCTGTGTGCACAAACCCAGGATCTAAAGCAGGTTTAGAACCGTGCTTTCTAATACAAAGACTAAAGGAGCAGCTACCTGAGGGTGCCTGAGCAGGTAGCTCACAGCTTCTTCAAAGTACTCCAGGTGGAGAATCGTCATGTCCTTGGGGAGGTCGTCATAGTTGTAATAAGCCAGCGCCATCACAGCAAAACCCTTCCCAGCCAGCAGACTTGCTCGATACTCCAGAAGGCCTCCTCCAACTCCAAACAGGTCTATGATCCCAGGGAAGGGTCCAGGACCTTACAGGAACCCCCCCCCCCAAACACACAAATTTAGTCCACAAATGGATTTTGGAATCTGACTCATTCACTTGTGGAGCAGTTTTGAGAGTGTTGAGCATCTAAACCTCCTTTCCTATTTTAAAGAACACCTTTTTGGGGTATTATATTAGTGGGTCTTTCCTGTCATTTAAAAACTGAAGTAGAGCCAGGCACCAGTAACTTAAGTCTGTAATCCTAACTACTCAGGAGGCTGAGATCTGAGGATCACATGAAAACTAGCTTGGGCAGAAGTCTGTTGAAACTCTTATCTCCAATAAACTATTCAGAAAAAGCCAGAAGTGGCGCTGTGGCTCAAGAGGTGGAACGCTAGGTTTGAGCACTGAGAGGCTCAGGGACAGAGTCCAGGCCCTGAGTTCAAGCCCCGGGACTAGAAAAAAAAATGAAGTAGAGAATTCCACTCTCCACTAATGACCTAGACTCTCTCCCATGAGTGATACAAAGACTGTTTAGAATCCTCCTAGGTCAACATTGTTGGCACTAAATAGACAGCAATTCTGAATTGGCAGCATTCTTGATGGGAGGGGGAGGGGTGCGACTATGAGTACTGGTTGTGTCTAAGCCCTTGCAATATGATTTCCTATTTTAGTATTCCAGAGTCCATTCTTGCTTACAACTCAAAACATGGATGGAGCTTCCAAGTACCATGATGTCAAAAAAACATCTGGCAGTAGCCGGGCGCTGGTGGCTCACGCCTGTAATACTAGCTACTCAGGAGGCAGAGATCTGAGGATCGCGGTTCAAAGCCAGCCCGGGCAGGAGAGACTGTGAGACTCCTATCTCCAATAAACCACCAGAAAACCGGAAGTGACACTGTAGCTCAAGTGGTAGAGCGCTCGCCTTGAGCTGAAGAGCTGAGGGACAGTGCCCAGGCCCAGAGTTCAAGCACCACGACCGACAAAAAAAAAAACATCTGGCAAAGATCTTTTTTTTTTTTCAAACTTGTGATCTGGCTTTTAAAATTTTGTATAATAATATTGTTTGAGAAACACAGTTCTTTGAAAAACTTGTTTTCAATGTATGTTGATACGAAAATCTGAGTGTCATTAATGAGAACAAAATACATGCTTTTAGTTATTTTGATGCCCTGATCTTGTTTATAAAACAGTTTTCAAGGAATTACAAGTAGGGCAAGAAGTCTTTTAAGAATGAAAAGAAAATGGATGGGAGAAGAAACTATTTCTCCTTTCTTAAAGGTTTATAGGTTGAAATTGTAAAGGTTCTGTCTCACCTCTACAGTTTAAAATGATCAACCAATTAGAAATAATCATAACTTTTATCTTTGATGACTAGTTAAATATTTCAATCACCTACACATTGAGTAATTAGTTTTACATGCCATTTTATTACTCACCAACTATTACTTGTATAAGCTTACTTGTTCCTCAAAATAGTTTAATGAAGGATCCATTCACCAATAAGCATATTTCAGATATTGTGTTAAAATTTCCACAGGTTGTAAATTGTATTCTCTTTCTCAAGTTGAAAAACTAAAAATTTTTTTTTGGTCATAGGGCCTGAACTCTGGGTCTGGGCACTGTCTCTCAGCTTTCAGCTCAAGGCTAGCGCTCTACCACCTGAGCCACACCACCACTTCTGGCTTTTTCTGCTTATGTGGTGCTGAGGAACTGAACCCAGGTCCTCATGCATGCAAGGTAAGCACTCTACCACTGAGCCACCTTCCCAGCCCGACAAACTAAAATTTTAAAGCAGGTAACACACTAGAGGATAACAGAGCCACAGGGATCAATCAACGGTAATTGCACTTTGAGTGTGTCCCGGTTGAGAACAATGCCACTCCCAAGGCAATATAAACACAAGTGTGTGATTCTGTGATGAGAAACAGCCTATGCTAAGACCTTGGGACAAACCAAACAGATGCCACCACTTTAACAAAGGGAATTAACGTAGAGCCACCACGGCGAAAAATGTGAACAGATGAAATACTTGTTTCTAATTTACTTTATTGTTGTTTTATAGACAGTACGGCAGGGAAGAAGTACACTTCCTTTTGTATAAGATCACTTGTTCCCTCATTCTTTCCCACCCTCTCCCTCCCATCTCCACCCATGAATTGCATAGTTCACTTTCATCAATGTCCAGTGCGCTCCACTGCTGCACTTTTTCAACCTTTTTCCTGGTTTTGTGCCTTCCCCCTAACCTTCCCACAGATGTGCACATGAACACACCATATATAAGGTAAAGAATACAGTCGTAAGAAAAAGAAAAAAAAAACAATTTAAGAAATATAACTACAGCCGGGCATCAGTGGCTCACGCCTATAATCCTAGCTACTCAGGAGGCTGAGATTTGAGGATAGTGGTTCAAAGCCAGCCCTGGTAGGAATTCTGTGAGACTCTTATCTCCAACTAACCACCAGAAAACCAGAAGGGCGCTGTGGCTCAAGTGGTAGAGTGCTTGCCCTCAGCTGAAGAGCTCAGGGACAGTGCCCAAGCCCAGAGTTCAAGCCCCACGATCAACCAAAAAAAAAAAAACAAAAACAAAAAACAAAAGCTCCATATTTTTGGAGTTCATTTCAGTATGTATTATTATTATTTTTTGGTTGGTCATGGGGCTTGAACTCTGGGCCTGGATGCTGTCCCTAAACTCTTCAGCTCAAAGCAATTGCTCTACTGCTTGAGCCACTGCAACACTTCCAGTTTTCTGGTGGTTTACTGGAGATAAGTGTCTCGCAGACTTTCCTGCCCAGGCTGGCTTTGAACTTCAATCCTCAGATCTCAGCCTCCTAAGGAGCTAGGATTACAGGCATGAGCCACTGGCGCCCAGCCAGTATGTATTAATTTATATACGTGTTAAGAGCCACTTGGGTATTACACCTTTGTGATTTTCTCCTAAGACTAACCTCTTTTGATCTCACTGTATCTGGATTTTTGTGTAATTTGTCACATCCCATTGCATTTTAGATCTAACTTCTGCATATCAGGGAGAACATGCACCATTTCTCTCTCTGATCTTGGCTTACCTCACTTAACATGATTTGTACTAGTTCCATCCATTTCCCTGCAAATGACATTATTTTATTCTTTCTAATGGCTATGTAAAATTCCATTGTACATAGGTTCCACATTTTCTGGATCCACTAATCTAATGTGGGGCATCTGGGCTGTTCCTATATCTTGGCTATTGTGAACAGTGCAGCAATGGACATGGATGTACAGATGTGCTTATCATATCCAGGTTCATGATGCTCACGGTAGATGCCCAGGAGTGGTATAGCTGGCATGAGCCACCAGCACCCAGCCTTATGCTTAGTTTTTTGAGGAACTTCCAGATTGTTTCCAAGAGTGGTTATAGTAGTTTACATTCCCACCAGCAGTGCAGTAGAGTTCCTTTTCCCCACTCCCCACCAGCATTTGTTGTCAGAATTCAAAATGTTGGCCAATCTAAGTAGCAGAAGATGGTATCTCATGTTTGTTTTAATTTGCATTTCCTTTATGGCCAGGGATGATGAGCATTTCCTCACGTGTTTCTTTGCCATTCTTACCTCTTCTTCTGAGAAGTCTCTTCTTAGCTCCCTTGCCCATTTAGTAACTGGTGTATTAAGTTTGGGAGGGGGTTAGTTTCCTGAGCTCCTTGTATATATTGGATATTAGGCCTTTGTCTGATGTATTGCTGGAAAAGATTTTTTCCCAATTGGCTGGCTGTCTTTCTAGTTTAGTAACTATGTCCTTAGCTGTGCAGAAACTTTTTTAACACAGTTTCACTTGTCAGATGGTCTCCTATCTGGTGCTCCTGGGACTCTATTCAGGAAGTTTCTGCCTGTATCTATAAGTTCTGTCTCTCCTATTCTCTCTTGCAGTAGTTTCAGAGTTTTGGGTCTGACATTGAGGTCTTTGATGCTCCTGGGACTCTATTCAGGAAGTTTCTGCCTGTATCTATAAGTTCTGTCTCTCCTATTCTCTCTTGCAGTAGTTTCAGAGTTTTGGGTCTGACATTGAGGTCTTTGATCCACTTTGAATTGATGTTGGTGCATGATGACAAGCAGGGATCCACTTTTAGCTTTCTACATACGACCTAGCAAAGAATTCTTAATTTTCAGCAATGTGTGAGTACATACCCTATAATTTCCAAGAGAGCCATCCAAATAGTCAAGCAGAGCCCACATTTGATGTGCACCTGTCACAAATTCCCACATCTTGATCACTGGAGTGAAACTTCAACTAGAACTCGAGTTGTCATTGTTTCTTTCCAAAATTGGGGGGTGGGGAGGGTTGATCTGTTCTTACCAATGGTATCATATTGAAAAATACAGGACAATTTATGTTTGGATTTTTTTTGGGGGGGGGTTCGGTCGTGGGGTCTGAACTCTGGACCTGGACGCTGTCCCTCAGCTCTTCAGCTCAAGGCTATTGCTCTATCACTTGAGCCACAGCGCCACTTCTGGCTTTTTTTCTTTTTGCTTATGTGGTGCTAAGGAATCGAACCCAGGGCCTCAGGCATGCAAGGTAAGCGCTCTACCACTGAGCCACCTTCCCAGCCCCAGTGTTTAGATTTTTTATGATCATTAAATGTTATGGATTTTTCTTTTCTTACAATGCTTCTATAAGCATCCTTTAAGTTCTAGGTAATTTTATCTAGCAGTACATCCCTAAGTTACTGATATTACATGTAGACATAAATTTACACTACTACTTATATATCATACTTACACTTTGATATATCTATTTCAGTTTATGAGTGTCTACTTTTATTTACTGACCTATGTCCATTCATAAATCAACACATTTAGTCATTGAAGCTTAATATCATCACAATTCTTTATGAAGCAAATATTTGTCCCTTGGACTTTGATTTTGTTTTTAGAAGTGTCTTAAACAGTATACCAAAGGTATACAATACTTCTTTGTTTAGAAAAGATCATAGTTAGCCAGGTTGTTCACTCCTATAATCCTAGCTACTCAGGAGGTTGAGATCTGAGGATCATGGTTCAAAGCCAGCAGGGGCGGGGAAGTCCATGGAACTCTTTATCTCTAACCACCAGAAAACAAGAAGTGGCACTGTGGCTCAAAGTGGTAGAGTGCTAGCCTTGAGCAAAATATTGCCCTGGCTCTGAGTTCAAGCCCCACAACCACAAAAGAAAAAAGAAAGCAAGAAAGAAAAAAGTTCAACTGCTGACCCATACATGTAGACCTATTTCACACTGGTTAGTTTGAGATTAAGGTCTCACTTCCTGCCCAGGTATGTGCCTGGGACATTTTTTTCCCCATTCCCCAGCCTAATACTGGGATGACAGATGCATTGCACCTGCTTAGCTATTGAGAATGGGGTAGGGTGTGTCATGAGCTTTTCTGCCTTCACTGACCTTGAGCTGCAATAGTCCCAATTTTCAACTTCTCAAGTAGCTAGGAATACAGGTGAGAACTCTTTAGTGTCAGCCTTCATTCTGGCAGTTTTCAAAAGCAAAACTCAAGTCAATGACTTGTAGGAGCTCTGTGTGCAATAAGGACAGATGACAATATGAAATGATCTCCAGATAGAGAAGAGGAATCTCCAGTAATGAGAGTAATGAGGATTGCAAGTTGCCATTTGGGAATGGGTAGAAAAGAATGATTAAAATGAGACAATGGTGATAAACCCAGGAATGAACAGTAGTTTCAGAGTGCCCAGGAGTCCTCAAGTTTCAAATGGGATATTGGATCATGTCCCAGTAAAACACAGAAGGAAATAGTTGCCCTTTCATATGGAACAGAGTCCTTTTACTTTGAACTGTGTAGTTTTTGTTTGCTACTACTTAAATACATAGCGATCATATTTTATGGCTTACCAAAGAAACACATTCTCAATTTCACATTTCTTTGATATCCTAGGGCAGCAGTAGGACCACTGAAAGTGACAATGGGAAGTTTTATTATTATTATTATTATCTGCTGGCACTGGGGCTTGATCTCAGGGCCTAGGCACTGTCCTTAGCTGTTCTGCTCAAGGCTAACACTCTACCACTTGAACGACAGCTCCCTTTCCAACTTTTTGGTGGTTTATTAAAGAATCTCCTCAGATCTCAGCCTCCTGAATAGCTAGGGACACAGGTATGAGCCACTGGTGCAGGGCCAGTGTTTATTACTGTATAAGAAATAAATATCCAGTCTGGGCCAGTGGCTCTCTCCTGTAGTCCTAGCTAGTTAGGAGGCTGAGATCTAAGACTGCTGCTTGAAGCCAGCCTGGACAGACAAACCTGAGAGACCTTTATCTCCAATTAAACACATACACACACACACAAAAGTATGGCTCAAGTGGTACAGCAACAGCCTTGAGTAAAAAAGCTAACAGTGCCCAAGCCCTGAGGTCAAGCTCTAGTACCCACACAATAAATGAAGAATGAATGAACATCCTTTTCCTTAACTAAACTTCTCCTTTCTGTCAGTGCCTCAACAATTCAAAGGAACAGGAACCATGGCCCACAAGCTGAGAACTTTGAGCAACTGTACTACCCAAGCCTCAAGTTCAGCTTGTCTCAGATGGTCCTTGCGAACTGGTTAAATCTGATTTCGCCTCCACTCCCATCCTTTGGGATTTCTTCACTCTGGGTGGGTCTGAATGCAACATTCTCACAAATTCCTCGCAGACACTGCCACACTTTGCAGGACCCATAAGAGAAACTGGGCTAAACCTGCATGTACACACATATGACCTGCGAGTCCCTTCACATTTTAGGTTGTATTTCAGCTGGGTTTGGGGAAGATCCAATGATCTCCTTCCCTAGACAACTTCCAGTATTGTTCCTACAGTGTGACTCTAGGATGACCACCTAACCAAGCAAAGACTCAAAGTCGGCCATGCTTTTCCAGTGACCACTGAGAGTCTGCGAGTGGGGAACGTGAGCTGGTGGGATGCACTGCACCTGCGACCCATCCCCTCCCAGACAGAGCAGCGAGGCCGCAGGCACTCACCTGGCGGCAGGAAGAGGGTGGCCCGCACCCGGCCCTCGCGCACCGGCACCCGCCGCACCCCGGCCGCCATGAAGTGCCGCTCGTGCACCGCCCGCGCCAGCACGCGCCCGCCCTCGGGCTCGCCGGGCCCGGCGGGCTCGCGGCCGTCCAGCACCTCCAGCTCCAGCAGCAAGGGCGTCTGCACGTCCCGCTTGAGCAAGCGCCAGAAGGGCCTGTCGGGCTGCAGGGCCCAGACGAGCCCCATGGGCTCGAGCCCCGCGAAGCTGCCGCCCAGCGCGGGCGCGCGCTGCAGGTCCAGCTGGCCGCGGGCGTCGGCGCGGTAGCGCGCGTGGGCCCGGAAGAGCGCGCCCTTCTCGTCGCGCAGGGACGCGCGCAGCGCCACGGGCTGCTCGGGGGCCAGGCCGTGCACGGCGATGCGCACCGGCTCGTCCCAGCACACGCGGCCCGCGGGCTCCACCACCACCCTCACCGCCATCTCGTCCTGGGAGGTGAGTGGGGGGAGTGGCGCGGAAAAATCCGGGCTTGAGAGAGTCAAGTAGGCGCCTCCGGGCCGGAAGGCGGGACCGGAACCGTCGCACTGTTCCCATTGGCTGGGAGCCGCTCCGTGCTGCCACCTAGCGTTTGTGGGATGCAGCAGCGCCTTGCGTGCAGAAAAATCTTCCAAGAACACCAATCCTGCCTTACAGTGTAGGAATTGAGACATAGAGACCCCGGAGGTCAGCATGGGATGTAGATCAGTGCCAGAGCGTTTTCCGGGCATTTACCAAGCGCGAGAAACCTCTGTAGGTCACCAGCGCCGCAAAAACACTAACATTGAAAGATTGGAAAGGATTCCCCCCAAAATGATGTTTTTGCTTACCTTTGGCCTCGTAGCCGACTGTAATTCTGGTGATCCCCACGAAACATGGCCTAGATCCCTTCATCTTTCAGCCTTTCCCTCTCGTCTTATCTCAACCTCAAGGGATCTAGAATTCCTTTCAGAGCAGTTTTATTTTGTTTTGTTTTTTAAAGAATCAGACCATTGGGACTGTGGTCTTGATTCTGCTCTTTGCTAAATTCATTGTTTAACCAGCTATGTGTTCTCTGAATCTAATTTCCATTTCTCAAAAGGTTTGCACGGAACTAATACCTAAAAACACTTCGCTAACACTCCTGTGGCATTAGTGTGCTGGGAGAGGGGATTGTTTTCCAGCCGGCAGATCTGGTCACTGAGTGCATTTTTGGGTTGGGATTGTTTTCCAGCCGGCAGATCTGGTCACTGAGTGCATTTTTGGGTTGGATCAGGCACAGGTCAGTCAAGAAAAACAAGTTGCCTGAAACTTTCATCCTTTAAGAAGTGTTTCACAAACGGACTAGCTAGAAAAATAGCTTTCTTGTTTGTTTTGTTTTTTAAAATAAAACAACAACAGGGGCTGGGAAGGTGCCTCAGTGGTAGAGTGCTTGTCTAGCATGCATAAAACCCTGCGTTCAATTCCTCATTGCCACATAAACAGAAAAAGCCAGAAGTGGCGCTGTGCCTCAAGTGGTAGAGTGCTAGCTTTGAGTGAAAAAGCTCAGGGACAGAGTTTAAGCCCCATGACAAACAAACAAAAAAAGTTTATCAGAGTAGGGGAGTAAAGGTGTAGCTCAGTGGCAGGAGCTGCTTACTTAACATGTACAAAGTCCTGGGATAGATCCTCAGCACCACAAAAAAATAAAGCAAAACAACAAAAGTTCTTGGGTTAGGCCCTAGGTCTGAGAATTCAGTGAACTTTCCCTCATTTGACCTAATGAATAAAGTACTGCTGGTACTTGAAATTTGTTATTTAGAGTGTAACAGGTTATGGCCCAGTCTAGGAAACTCAGCTTGTAAAGAACTCACCTGTGTTACTGCAGCCCCCAACACAAAAATTGAGAAGTACAGGTAGAATTCAACAATTGTACAGGCAGCTCTTCCTCCCCATCCCCAAAGCCCATGTTGCTGTGAGACCCACAGAAATGGCTCAGTGACACATGAAGGAAAAGCAGCTGAGAATGTGGCCTGGGCCCAGCCATTTAGCACACCTTCACTGCGGGAGATCTGTGCCTAGACACTGCATAGAAGAAGCAGGTGCAGCACCGGCCAGGTAACAGGGCTGCCCACAGCCTGCAAAGCATCAGTTGCCATAGAAAATTCTTGGTACTTGGGCTGGGAATGTGGCTCAGTGGTAGAGTGCTTGCCTAGCCTGCATAAAGCCCGGGTTCAATTCCTCAGTACCACATACACAGAAATAGCCAGCAGTGGCATTGTGGCTCAAGTGGTAGAGTGCTAGCCTTGAAAGAAGCTCAGGGATAATGCCCAGGCTCTGTGTTCAAGCCCCAGGACTGGCAGGAAGGAAGGAAGGAAAGAAAAAGAAAGAAAACAAAAAAGAAAATTCTTGGTGCTTATGAGAGGAGGGTGACTCCACACAATTCCAGTGTTTGTTCAGTGTCTTGAGGCTGAGTTTAATACCCAGATAGAAGAAACACTGTGCCCGGAATGAAACCAAACCATAAGTTTCTGTGCCCTTAACTAGGGGTTAGGACTTCATCAATAGGCAAAATCCTTTGCGGATTTTGGTTCTACATATATATGAACACTCACCAAGGCCTCTCTGAGAGGATCCCTGAACTTGTCCATAATTTATAGGCCCTGGCTTTCAGCTCTGCACTCAGTGTGGAAAGGCTAAGCCAGAGGAACAATGGCACCAGAATCCTCACTTCCCACACCATCAATTAGAAGAGTCACACCATCCAATCGACTGATAGAAACCCTTACTCTGAGGAATAAATGGTTTCCTCCTTCTGGAATTAAGATGTTTAAAATTAATTTTTCATTTTATCCTGTGACATGGTCAATGGGGACTCCGGGAGATTTTTCTATATACCCACAATGTAAACTGCTTTTAACTCAAGTTCATTTAGTTTTCTGTGGTTCTTGGATGAACATCTGAAATGGATCTCCTTTTCTCATAGGCCCAAAGTAAAAGAAAGTGGAGGGAGGTGCAACATACCCCTATGTGCTCCAGTGTCATGATTGTAGTCATCACTTTGTTTGTTTATTTTTTTAGGGGGTCCGGTCATGGGGGGCCTGAACTCTGAGCATGGGCACTGTCCCTCAGCTCTTCAGCTCAAGGCTAGCACTCTACCACTTGAGCCACAGCGCCACTTCTGGCTTTTTTCTTTTTGCTTATGTGGTGCTGAGGAATCGAACCCAGGGCCTCGAGCATGCAAGGCAAGCGCTCTACCACTGAGCCAACTTCCCAGCCCCTGTAGTCATCACTTTGGACATAGTTATAAGACATACGTGTAGTGTAGGTGAGACAAGAAAATGCCACTTGATTCCATTTTTTTGTAGGCAGTATGCTACACATTCAAATGTTTTCCTGAAGATAGCATAGCATAATTTAAGTGATACTGTCATCATTAAGAGTGTTATACCAAGCCTGATTTCCTGATTTCAATGTGAATATGTGCCATGTGAATATTAGAAAAAGCTTGATAAAGCATATTTTGTTTTGCAAGATTTATGTAGGTGTAAAACAATTTCAAAATAAAAAGTTTATACTGGGTGCCAGTGGCTCACGCCTGTAATCCTAGCTACTCAGGAGGCTGAGATCTGAGGATCGCAGTTCAATGCCAGCCTGGGCAGGAACATCTGTGAGACTCTTATCTCCAGTTTGCCACCAGAAACCCAAAAGTGGCACTGTGGCTCAAGTGGAAGAGCGCTTGCCTTGAACTGAAGAGCTCAGGGACAGTGCCCAGGCCCAGAGTTCAAGCCCCACAACTGACACCCCTCTGCCCCCGCCAAAAAAAGCCAAAAAGATTAGAAAACAGGCAGAAATATCCACAGGTTGGAATGATAAGACTATCAGAGAGGATTTGGATCATCTTTGTCCCACTTGTAGGGTAAATGTAACCTTCAGATCCTAACTTCTCTATATCACTCAAGTGCTCAGTATTTTTTTTTGGATGGACTTCCTAGATATTATATTATCTATGATCTTGTCTCTGAAAATTCCTAGAAATTCTGGACTGAGACAGTTTCTCCAGAGGGAACTGACACTTGATGAGTCACTATGGCTACTTGTCTCTCCCTGTGAGGGGCCTCATCTTTAGGCTTTAAGAGAATAGATTAGTGAGCTTTCTATTGCTGTGACAAAAATACATAAGACTATCAGCTTATAAGGAGAAAAGATTTCTTTTGATTCCAGTTTTAGAGATTTGAATCCGCAGTTGTTTGCCCCATTGCTTTGGGTTTGTGACAAGACATTATCCATCATCATGGCAGGGAGCCTATGGCTGAGGTGAGATGCTCACCTCAAGGCAGTTAGAAGTATAAAAGAAGAGAAGAGGTCCACTTCTTTCAAGGTTACCCTGAGCCTCACTTCCTTCCGTTAGACCCCACTGCCTGGAAACTGAGCTTTAAGCACAAAGCCTTTGGAGGACAGTTAAGATCCAACCATACTAGAAGGTTCCTACATTCAGGACAATTATGTGGAAAGTACAATTTTCAAAACAGCACTTACTCGGCACAAGAGACTCAGCAATATCCTGGTGAGTCTTGGATCACTTCCCAGAACCTTGTTCTGTAATTCACCTACTTGATTACTTGCCAAGACCTTTCCCCTAGTTACAGCTCAGAGAAATATGAGATGAAATCTTTCAGGAATGTGGATTGCTTTTGAAAGTTTATTGGATAATCAATAAGTGTGATTACAGGCTTCGCCATGTAGATATTGTATAAACAGAAAGTAACATTGGATTACAAAAATACAGTATTTGCACCGCCTCTGGTGGTGCAGTCCTAGCTACTCAGGAAGCTGAGATCTGAGGGTCACAGTTCAAAGCTAGCCCAGGCAGTTAACTGCCAAAAATGGGAAGCCAGAAGAGGAGCTGTGGCTCAGGTGGTAGAGCACCAACCATCAACAACAACAACAACAAAAAGCTTAGAGATCGCACTCAGGCCCTCAGTTCAAGCCCACAAAGCAGCACTCTCTCTCTTTCTCTCTCTCTCTCTCTCACACACACACACGCACACACACACACACACAAGTATTTGCTGATTATCTCTGACTATTCACTCCCCACAGTGTTCATTCCCTGTAAAAGTTTTGCTCTTAAGTTTTTTAAGGGGAGGATTTAAATATTTGGGATTCTAGGTAAATTTCTTTGCGTGTTTGTTTGTTTTTTTATGAAATCACTTGTGCTGTTGTTCTCCAGACATCTCATAAATAGGATCATGAAAATAGCTATGCCAATAAAATATAGAAATAGAGCATCTGGACCTTGTAATGTCAGACTGAAGGAGATTGCTACCTATAAAACTCTCTCCAGGGCTGGGAAGGTGGCTTAGTGGTAGAGCGCTTGCCTTGCATGCATGAGGCCCTGGGTTCGATTCCTCAGCACCACATAAGCAAAAACAAAAAGCCAGAAGTGGCGCTGTGGCTCAAGTGGTAGAGCGCTAGCCTTGAGCTGAAGAGCTGAGGGAGAGAACCCAGGCCCAGAATTCAGGCCCCATGACTGGACCCCC